GCGCGGCCGGAGGGGCGGGCAGGGCCTCCCTTGGGCCCGGGTGCCCGGGGCGGAGCGGGGCTAAAGGCCGAGGCGGCGTTGGGCGGGCGCTGACGGCCTTTCTCTCGCCTCCCCCGCAGGAGCCCTCCTCCTCCTCGGCGGCCGCAGGGATGTCCGGAGGCAGCGGCGGCCCTTGAGGCTTGCGCGGGGCCGGGCCGCCCGCGGGAGCGGAGCCGGAGCCGCCGCGGCTCGTCGCAGCGRAACGCGGCCCAGGCCAGCGGCGGGGCATGGAGCGTCGCACGGTAACGGGAGCGGGCCCTGGCCGGCGGAGCGGGGCGCAGAGCGGGCGAGCGCTGCCCGCCGCGAGTTACCGCCTCCGCGCCGTGTGCCCCGCGTGGAGCGTGCGGGCACTGAATGCGCGGCCTTTAAGGCGCTAAAACGACGTAAAAAGAGGGTTTTCTCTTTGTTCACTTTTATATAAGGTGCAGAGTTCGGGGGACTTAACGCTGTGTCTTGTGTACTGTGATAAATGCTCCTCGTGTGCCGTAATACACGAGAAACACTTATTTCCAGTCCGTTTTAAAAAGAGCCTGTAATACCCCAGGACTGATGAGTGGTGTGCTCTAGAGAAACGAATGCTGTGGAGAAAAGGACCGGCCTCAYTGCCGGTGCTGGGTGCTGCTGGCTCCCCGCTGGCTTACTGGAGTTTCTTACTAGAAATGCCTTATTATTAATAGTGCAAATGGAGCGGACGGGGCTGTCGCAAAACACCGGCCTCCGTGGTCTGAGGAGGGCTCTTCCAGGCCTGACGTAATGGTCACGTTCTCGTGACTCCTTCCCAGAGCTGAGGAATAAAAGCTGCTAGAGGGGGTGAGGCCGGAGCTGCAGGCAGGGCGCGTGGGCTCCCWGGGGCCGGGGCTCCCGCCTGGCAGCGGCGCTCTTTGCTGTTCGGGATCGAGAGCGAGTTACGGGAAATGAAGTAGAAAAATAAACCTTAAGAGGATAAAGGTGGTGTTGGGGTAATGTAGCTTGCTTAGCCTAAAACCATTGAACTGGCAGTATATCGCTCTTTAAGCGAGGCAGTTCGAAATTTTTCTTTTTAATAATATGCCACATAAGCTTTTTCCCTATCTTAATCTCTTGATTCAGCTAATAATCTGCAGCAGGAGCAATTGCTGCAGTTTTGTTTGGGTGAGATAATGTGCTGTATAGCTTAACAAGAACTGTTTTAGCTTCTAAATTGACACCATCTACACTTTCTTTTTTTTTTTCTTTTTTTTTTTTTTCTCTCCCTCTCCTCTCCCCAGCGTTGAGGCCTTTTCTCAGCTCTAGTGAGCAGCATCACTCTTAAGTTGATCAATGATGATTTTTTTATTCTAGATACGGTACTTTCTAAGTGCAGAGATGGAAAAATGACTGTTGTGATGACACCAAATAAAAGTTGTGCARTAGCTTTCTGCATTGAAGATCCTGTGGGTTTTAAGCTGTGTGTTCTTTTGGTTTTGATTCTTAAACTTGATCTTAGTGGAGTTTGCATGTTTGAATATTCGGCTCTAATGTAGGTCTAGRTTCTGCGATGGTCGTTAACTGTGATGGTTTGGAGATCTGATAAAAGGCTGTGTAAATCCGCCTTAGTGAGACTTCTTTTTTCCAGAGATTTTTAGGTGTTTACTGTTTGTCAGCAAACTTTAAACTGTTGCCGGTAGTAATGGTAGCAGGTAGTAACAAATTTGTATGTCTTATTTTACAAGTTGTTACAGTGAAGATCACTAACTGCCTTCATTTGGAGRCACTGTATTTGATTAAAAATCGATAGTCCATGCTGAAGTTCAAGGCTATGCCCTAGCCCAGGAAACTTCTGTCATCATCCCCTTTAAATAAGAAGGGTGCACGTTGATACTCCTAAGGGAGAGTATTTTCTGAACCCTGAAATACTGTTCCATGCATTCAGGTATGTTGTTATGCCTTATAAAGGAAGTGTTTTATAGATGCTGACGCCATTGCATGTTGTGCACAGTCATCCATCTCGGAGCATATCAGATTATATGCTCCTCTTAAATAACAATTTTTACTTCAAGTGTTTGCTTCTGTTTCTTTCTTCAGCCTGCTACTTGTTGGGCTTAGGTAAAAAATGTGGACCAGACCCRCAAATGTGTACTAAACACTAAGTGATGAGATTCCTTGCATAGCGTAATTTTATTTTAAAACTGTCTTGCTGTCTTCTTGTGTTAACTGTGATAATTGCTGCCTGTCCCAGCAAATAAGTGTTGGTAGTTTGCTATTAAATAAACTTGAGGAAGTCAGTAAGGACAGCAAGCCCTGGAATCAGGGCATAAGGGAAAATTTAGGTGAGAAACTGTTATGGCAGACATGTTTAAAACAGACTGTTTTCCTAAAGAAGTGTCAAGTGTCAGTGTGCCTTTTTGTAGTTTGTTAACAGAAAGTGTTTTTCTCTGTCTTGTAAGTGAAGGATACTCAATCTGAAAAATGRAGATTTGACTGTTAACTGTGTGGGGGTGGGGGAAAAGGCTTTTTGCCAACCCATATATTTGGGGTTGGCAGTGATCAGCATAGTCTGTTCTTTAGATGACATTTGCAACCAGTTGAGGAAGCAAGATGTGCAGGACAGGTGGTGTAATTAGAATTGGTGGTCTGTGATGGTGTGTTCATAATGTGACCTGTTTCTATTCATTTCCATTTGAAAATCTTCTTGGTATATTTCTAGCTAAAGAAATAAGTAAGAACTGAGTAAACAAAGGCTTCTCTTGAGTTGAAGGCCTTGTAGCTTACTCATATAGTAATGCATATGCTGTAAAACATTTCAAGGAAGTAACAAACCTAATTAGCTCAATATAGAATGGTAATCTATAGGACTAGTGTCTCAAAGTATGTTTTAGAGATGACTGCTTATAAGTCAGGTGATCTTTGACTAAGTTATCCAGTTTAATCATAACTTCATTCCCCAGTCTAGATGTGAATGTCTAAAATAGAAATTTCTGAGATCTTTCCCTTTAAACAGACTGCTAAACTGCTAGAGATTTGTTTGCATTACTGGACTGTGGTCACATTATCCTTTGATTACTTTGATTTTTTTTTCCTTTTTGTTTTTAAGATGGAGAGCTATATCTCCAGTCCAATTTCTTAGCATGTAAATGTTTGACTTACAGGATGAAAGCGTATGTTCCTTTGCCAGGCAGCAATTTAAGCAAACACTGTTGAAAACTTGAAGCTCTTACAGACTCCACAGTGTATTATTTTTCAAAGTAGAGAGCTTTGATTTGCATGCCTTACGGTAGCATTAAGGACAGAAATCTTCACATAAGCAGTTTTGAACAATGTCCTTTAAAAAGTAACAAATCTGTGAACCAACTTGGAGAGGATCCAGAAGAGAACAGCGAGAGTATTCAGTGCTTTAGGAAACATCTTCATAAGACACCACTTAATGCTGTTTAGTCAAGAGAAGGTACCTCCCTTCTAGCTACATAAGAAGTGACAGAAGAGCAAGCATTGCACCGACTCAGGTGTCAGTGTCTGTTGGACAYGCAAATAGAGCATCCCAGGTTTTTCTTTATGGTGGTGATTCCTTCCTGTCCATACACGGCCCCTTCTGCACTGCGGGTAGCTGCTTGCCTTATGTGCCGTGTTCCTTGTATGCTGTAAATGTGTAAATGCATCTTTCCAGTGCATATATTTAGCACTACTATCAAAAAAAGCATATGTACTTAGTTAAAAATGTATCCTGTGCCAACTAAGAATGAAAAATATATTTTTATATACTTCATATTTTTAACACTTAATTAGCTATGATAAAACTTCTTAAAATGGTTACTTGTCTGTCCCTGGTATATCGGATTTTTTATTTCTTTATTTTTAAACTGAGGTATATATTTGAGGAAGCTACTTCTGGAGTTGCTGAAATGTCTAAACAGTGCTAAATTCAGAAGGAGACTTTAAATCTTTTTTTTTTATTGGTGATAGATGGTTGTTTGAATCACTAACAGTTACAGACTTCAATATTGTGGTTTTAGAAATATTCAAAGTACTGATTGCAGGAAATGGGGAACTTAACTGTAGGTCTGTAGCTTTGACAGTGTTTTATATAGATTATTGAGAAAGAAGCAGCTGGAACCTTGTGTTGGGTGTTTCTGACTCTAGAAAATTAGTTTGAGGAGATAAATCAGCAAAGAGCTAACTCTGCTTTTCCTGCAAAGTAAATGACTTCTGGCCTGCCTTACCTCTTTGATGTGGATTCTTGTGGGATTAGATGCAGGCAGCTCCAGCACAAGTGCTGCTTTGTGAACCTGCAGCCATGAAGGGCCACCTCTTTTGGTAGCACCTAATAAGAGTCTGTTAATTGTAGCACCAAGTTGCACCTGGATGGTCAGTATGTGTGCAGCCCCTAAAGGAATGTTATCAAAATTATGTATTTCTCAACTCCCAGTTTTCTCATAATCCTTCAGCATTTCTAATTTTGTATGCTTTTTTATGTAAACAAAAGTTTGTTTCTTGGCAATAAATATATCCTTTAATATGGATGGGATCTGTACTTCATTTTCTGGTAATGAGTCACCCAAAGCTGTTCCCCTTGTAAGGCTCTTAATTGCTTCAAGGAGGTCACATAATAAAATAATTGCTGTGTGTAAGCACTGTGGTCAAATGAGGATAGGAACAATGACATTAAACATCTGCTTGCTCCTATTTGTCACGCTTGTTGTGTAAAATCTGAYCTATGGTGTAGAGTGCTGAAGACTGTTGGAGTGACTGGCTGAGGATAAACTCGGGATTTCTTAGTTTTTGCTTCTGTCTGGGCAGAGAGTCCTCTTTTAGGTTATGATGAACACTGCTTTCACCTTTGCAGGCTTTGCAAATCTCTGTTGGAACTATATGCTAGTTTAAAAGATAATCACGTAACAAGAAGTTCCGTCTCCAGGTGAGGAGGAACTTCTTTACTGTTAGGGTGACAGAGCAGTGGAACAGGCTGCCCAGGGAGGTTGTGGAGTCTCCTTCTCTGGAGGTCTTCAAAACCCGCCTGGATGCCACCCTGTGCCACATGCTCTAGGTGTGCCTGCTTGAGCAGGAAGGTTGGACTAGATGATCTGTAGAGGTCCCTTCCAACCTTAAATATTCTGAAATATTCTGAAATATTCTGAAATGTGCGTTGATGGGGTAGGAAGTGGCAAGTGCTGGTCTGAATCGGTCAATGGGAGGAAGGACCCCTTGGTGGAGTGAGGCAAGGAGCATAAATTTGTTGCTGCAGGGTGCCATGACTGAAATGAAAGGGTCTAAGTATCTTTTGGGATGCTAAGCACAAAGAAGAGTCAGCGCTGGCTTCTCCAGGTACTTTTGATTAGAGTAGGATGTGGATTTATCAAATGCAAACAGGCTAAGGGGCATGCTTTAGAGGAGAAGGCAAACTAGAAAAACCTCTACCTCAGACAGTCTTGAGACTAAAGGGATTGAAGTCCCTTCAGTTTACTTAAGGGGAGTGCAAGTCATGTCTTGATTGTCTGTTGTAGGTAACTGCATGTTACGGGCATTTAGGAATGAAAAAGATGCAAAAATTGAAGTTTCTTCAGAGTCCCAAAAAATATAAGTGCTAACATTCAGGACCTGAAAATATTTTTTAAGCAAATGAGCCAGGATGTTTTGAAATAGGAAATGAGAATAATAAATAGCTTTGTGTTGAATTGGCAAGTCTGTAAAGCTAGATTTATTTGTTTGTTTTTTAAGGGCTTAGTTCAAGTTTCCAAGAAAGTTCATTTGTGTTGGGTAGCACAGAGAAAACAAGTTGGTCTTGGAGGAAATGAAGAGGAGGATTTGAAGACAGCTCACTGATCTTCATGGGGGAGGCCTGCTGGCCTCAGCTTGCTGTGTCACACTGCAGCTCTGTAGTATCTGTCTCATGTTCCTGTGCTTATGCTAGTTACATATATTTTATGCCCTGATATATTTAAGTTTAGCCCTGTGGAATAATCTGGTTGTAGCTGGAAGTAAAATGGAATTTACTGGTTGGTAACCTGAGGAGCTAAAAGAAAATATCCTTTTTTTCCAATGTCTTGCTCACGCATTCGGTAAACAACTGATTGTCAAGTGTGATTTCCTGAAGGAGGATATCGTTTTCTTGCTGGCAGGCTACACGTGGCTTTTTTTCTCCTCTCCTCTCCTCTCCTCTCCTTCCTGCTGCATATTGGAGCATGAAAATTCTGAGGTTAATTTGGCATCACTTATTTAAACAGTTCATTTGTACTGGGGGGCAAGTGGTAGCATAGTTTGTTTTCTGTTTGTTTTGATTTTAAAAAATTATGTATGTACAGAGAGAAGAGAAAAAAATGTACTAAAAACAATTATTTCATTAATATAATTAAATAAGTAAGCATTTTAATCTTGTCATCTTTGTAAGCATTTTAATTTTGTAAACACTTTAATCGTGAGTATTTTTGTGATGTTTCTGTAAATAACCAAGTTCTATGAGTGAAAYATTGTGTTCTTTACAGGCTTAAGAGGGATAAGGCTTCGCTAGAACTGTAACTAGAATGGACAGTTACTTTAAAGCAGCAGTCTGTGACTTGGACAAACTACTTGATGATTTTGAGAAGAATACAGGTGAGCTCTTGTGCTGCTTTGCTGTACAGCGCATTAATACTGATCAAATTTTAGAAAGAAAGCACTTTTTAAGAAAGCACTTTTATTAATGAATGTATGGCATTTTGTGAGGTGGGAGTACGCTGTGGAAACAAGTAAATTTAATAAACTTTAATCTCTTTTTTTTTTTTTTTGCTTAAAATAGATGAATATGACTGCTACAGGACCACTCAAAATCCATAYGACCCAAAAAAAGAGTCACTATTTTCAATTTTGGAACATGCATCTCCAACACCGAAGCTACAAGAGAATGCTAACACTTCTACCACAGAGGAACAACCTTCTATAGGCAGCCGTGCTGGAGCAAGCGAAGCAGTCCCAAATTACTYGCTGCAAAGTGAGAAGAATGTTGCTGGACTTGATCTTTTGTCCACTGTGGATGGAGGTTCCTCAAGTGAAACCCAAGATTCTAGCCTGGGGAGGTGCAATGTACCTGTGTGTGATCTTGTTAATGACACAGGTAACTTAATCCATTCCRTAGGTGCTCATGAAGATGCTCAGAAGCTGCAGCCAGGTGACTCGCAGTTTAGTGAAGACTGTTTGCTTGACTTTGCCATGTCTCCCATATCAGCTCCTGTTTGGGGATCATTAGGTGGCAGTGACATTTTGTGTATGCAGCAAAGTGATGGGGACTCAATCTTGCAAAATTCAGGGCTACTTAAAACAGAAGAGTTGAATCATGTAACTTTTAAATCAGACGCTTATACTAAAGAAAAGATTTTGGATCTCTATGATGATAAAAACAGGACAGACTCTTTAAAGGCTAATGAGACTTTTGATCAGGTTGAACAAAGTGCTCGCCTTAATACTGCATGTGCCCCTGTAACGTCACAGAATTCAGATGTGCACGGTCCCAAAGATGAGACAGCTTATGAAAAAATACTGTGTGAGCCGCAAGATGACGGTGCCAGCTCTTTAGTGAGTGAAGAGATGTATGGAAGAAATACTATGGAAAACATGGGCTTAAAAGATGAGAGTAGTGTTGAAACCATGCCTTGCGATCTGCCAAAGAGTCCTCATTTGCACAGTGCAGTATTACCCAGAAGTTGTGTTTTATCAGGTTCCTCATTTCAAACAGAGGATAAACTAGAAAYAGAAAAGGAAAACGCGGAAGAAAATGTGGACAATGAAGAAGTTAGTGGCAAAGAAATATTAAACAGAGTTTCAACTTCGTGTATTTCAGTTGAGGATGTTCAGGCTTCACTGTCGTGTCTTCCACTTCCTGTATCTATATGTGGCTCTTTAGCTGTAACAGAAGAAAAAATGAATCCTCTACCTCAGAATGAAGCAACAGAGGTTATCAGTGATATTTTAACTGTTCGTACTGGAAAGTCTAAAATGGATCCATCTGATAAGGAGTCCCACAAAAAGACTGGCTTGCATGAAGATGACAGTTATCTACCTAAAAACAGCCAAAACTTGGTAGAAGAAAGTGTAGGTGAAGAGAAGCACGATACTGAGAATATAATTGATTATGGTGATTCTCAGCAAATTGAAACAATTGCTTCTCCTTTTCCCATTTTAGAGTATGAAGCTGAGCCATATAGTGGGGAGTTTTACTATGATGAAGGTATTAGTCCAGACGTACCTGAATTTGCTCTTGAGGATAATATTATTAAAAGTGATACTCTAATAAGTGATGCTGAGCTTGATGACTTCTTGTATGGGCAAAGTCTCCAGCCTAGTGTGCAACAATCTTCAGAGGGTGATAGTAATTTATTGGAACCTGATGCAAATGAAGCAAACTTAAAAAATGTGAAAAACCTGGATTTCACAGAGTCCAGTGAAGAACATACATCTAGCATTGCTGTTAATCTTAAATCATCTGTTACTGACTGCAAATTGCAATCTCCAATGGAAGAGAGTCTGGCTTGTGTTCAGGATGCAACTGAAAGTGACAGCAAAGCTTCTGTTTCTGCTGTTCATACTGAAGGAGCAAGACCAAAACAGTTGCTTGGCCTTTCCCAAAGAGTAAATGTACCCGAGGGAGAAAATCGGGAAGCCAGTTCGATAACACCCAAAGCTCCCAACTCGGGCGCTGACGTTAGTTTTGAACCTGCTCGCTCTGAGGAAGGCAGCTGTGAAGATGGAGGAAGTCAAACATCCATAAGAGAAGAATCGCTTCAAAAACCTCCTATTTTGGGACAGAAACAGCCATCGTGGGTTCCTGATTCAGAGGCACCCAACTGCATGAACTGTCAAGTCAAGTTCACGTTTACGAAACGACGACATCATTGTCGTGCGTGTGGAAAAGTAAGTTACTGGGGAAGGATGCTCTGATGCTGAAAGCAAATTCCCTCTGCTTTGGGGACAAGCAAAATATAAAGGGGAATGAATATTGTTGGAGTTCTTCTAGGATCTAGAAGGTGTTTTGTTAAAGTAATAATTTGGCTTTATTTAATAGAGACTTCAATATTTTGGGGGGAAAAGTTCTTATGGACTCTGACTTGAGTACTATCATTGTTAAAGGGATGGAGGGAGAATGTTATTTTTGTCTTCTCTTTTTGGCTAGGCTTCTGTTTCTCATTTTGCATATAGTAAGGAACATGGAACAGTGTGCTTTGCAAAATAAGTCATTCTAGTGGATCTTTTTGTGCTCATACACCAAGATTTAAAAAAAACAAACATTAACAAAAAAATCTGAGTTAAGGTGGTTGGTTATATTAGCTGCAAAACGTTGTCCACAAATTAGGTAAGATATTGGTCTTCCAGGAAATAAAAGAGCAGTGCCAGTGCAGAGAACTTGTAATCAAAATATGACTTCCTGTGTGTTAAAAAAATATGTAGCATTTTTCCAGGGGATTTGTATGTGGAAAAGATGGTATGCTTACTTTGCAGGGTGAATCTTAGTTAACCAAGTCATTTAACCTTTTCCACTGCATGATCCTTTGTAGTCAGTAAATACCATCAAAGCTTATTTTAATCCAAATTTTCCTGTCTGTTGCGGTGGCTTAGTGTCATGCCAGTGGATAAATGCAAATACTGATCAACTTATTTTTCCATGTTCCTCTGAGGGGCTGTTTCTATTGTAGCGTTATAGATAGATAAAGAGCTGTGGAACAGATTAGTGCCAGTATTTACTAACTTTTTACGTCTGCAGTTTTTGAGATAGAGATCTTGAGAGCTGGGGTTTTTTTCCAGATTACCTAGARCATATGGCACAGGATTGCACGTAAGGGGAGAATTGTCTAATTCTCAGGTGTTTCTGTAGCTGTTGATTAGCAATGGAAATGATTCTGAGAACTCTAGTAGAGGGCAGTTTTATTGGGTTTTAGTTAATTGAACAGGATTGCACAGGTCTAGTCCAAGCTACAGAYACTCCCCTTTTTTTGCCCATCTCTTTTTAAAAATGGGCAGGGYGTACATCCTGTGTGAGGGGAGGAACTTTGTTCTGCTAACCTGGCCTGCAGTATGCCGCTTAAATACCTTGGGGGGAGCTAGTATTGTAAGGACAACTAAGCTCATTATTTCTTCTTGAGGATTGGTTGAGGGGATCCACTTAGTAAATTCACTGGGGAATAAAAATGATTCCAGCTTGGGCTATTGCCTGTGCGGCAGAAAAGGCAGCTCAGAGCTTCCTGGCAAGTGCTTGTTGCACAGAGCCCTGGCACAGTGTGCAGCAACACAGCTCTGCAGAAAAGCCTTCTGTGTGGCAGACAGTGCTGAACAGTCGAAAACACTGGAAGGTCTGGATCATAGTTCTGGGTTTTCTGTGCTTGGATCAGCTTGTATTTGCTCCTATACCAACTGCATCCATGTAATAAACTGCTGATATAGTCTGTTGTCTCATTAATTTCTGTTCCAGACAAGCTATTCCGTACCTTTGAGGAAGAAAATGTTCTTTAGTCTTCTGTGGAAAAAATAGAGCATTTACTGCAATTGCAGCTTCTAAGAAAAAAAAAAAAAGTAGGGAGTTTTTAAACAGGATTTGAAGTTGCTTGGAACACGATTAAACCTTAAACATAAAAGGATTATCAAAAATTCTCAAGTACTCTGTATTTTCAAAAGTAGGTAAGAACTAAGAAGAGAGACTTGGCATGTGAGGGTGTATGCCCTGCCATGGTGTTAGCTTGGCAAATGCTATGGAGCAGCGTGGGGCCAAAATATCCATAGGTAGAAATGGGATAAGCTTAAAAAACTTAGTATGGGTAAATTATGGTGCACTTCCTGATAAATAAGATAAAGGGAAATCTGATTAAATGCAAATTTGCCTGACMCAATTTATGGCACTTTTTAATATAAACCTTCCCATCTCTTCTCACTGAACATTTCTGCAGATATGTGTGCTAAAGCTCTASTAAAACTCCTTTTATTTTTTCTTACTTTCCCACTTTGAAAAAGGTGTATGTACACTTTGGATAATTCCGTCTCTTTTAGTAAAAAAGGTGACTAAATGATAAAAGGAGTTTTATTTGGGAAATACTGGGTCTTTGCCTATAATATTTAATTGAGTCTTGTTTTGGTTTAGGTTTTCTGTGGCAGTTGTTGCAACCGAAAGTGCAAGCTCCAATACATGGAGAAGGAAGCAAGAGTCTGTATTGGCTGTTATGACCCTATTATTAAAGGTAAAAGGTTAAATGCTCATTTTAAGTAATTATAATAATAATTAAAGAAGAAAATAAATATGGTTAATATCTTYTTCATCTTTCTACTTTTGGGGAAGTTTCAGTGCTTATATTCATGTAAATTTCTATATTGTTTCTGAATTGGAGGAAGAAGATAGTTATATCTCTTTTTAGTTGGATTTTTGTTGTCCTTATTTTAAACTTTGGCAGGATGATTGCTCTATATGTATACAAATGTATAGATTTGAATTTCATAGGGTTGCTTCTAAAGCTGTGCCATTTGGTCATCTGTTAGAGCAGCAACCCAAAAATATATGTTTTTTTCTCTTGTGACTGAAGACATGCTTTCTTAAACACACCTGCTGCATGTTTAAAGGTTCTGCCTCTGCTAGTTCTCACCTACTTGTCCATTTATGTAGCTTTTTGTCTTATTTTAAAGTTTATTTAACATAACAGAAAATGGTTTGTAAAATAGCTTTTTCTTAACTGAAAGTTAGGCAAASATGCTTTATGGGTACAGCAGAAAAAGGCTGAAGTTTTGATTTTCAGTACTAAAGTAAGTTGAATACATACCTGTTTTTTTGTAAATTATTTTTTAAAATTATTTTTAAGATGACAGTTCCCTAAACTATCCAGTTGGGGATTTTGTGTTTTAAAAACATATACTTTTCCTTCCTGCTGTTCTAGGTAAAGCATTGAACTAGTTTAGCAGTGTGGAGAGCTTGGAACTTCTCTACATTTYATTCCTATGGGTTACTTGTGCACATGCTGTCTTGAAGCAAAGCATGCCTACCAAGAGAAGATTTACTGGTTTTATACATAGGCAGGAAAAAAATAGACAGGAAGGTGTAGAAAATCAATAAAGTTAATTTTCTTTTATACGGTACTTGACCATTCATATTTCACCACGGGTGTGCACTCTTGCTCAAAAAAAAGCACCTTGCAGTGCTGACCAAAATTTATTCAGATGCAAGGTCTTTTTTTTTTTTTTTTTAAAAAAAAGAAACTAAGTGCTTTTCTTTCCTTTTAGCACAGGCATTTGAAAGGATGATGAGTCCAACTGGTCCTATCCCTAATTCCACTGTCTCCTCTGAATGTTCTTCTGCTGTTCCACCTTTGCAGGAGACCCAGGCAACTGATAGTTCTAGCTCTCCATCATCATCTATGTTGTTACCTATCTCTGTACTTAAACAACCAGGTATWGAAGGTATGTTAAATACAGTGTAATTTTCTAACACTTTTTAGAGTTCTTTTTGGAAAGAGTTTTCTATTGTGGGTATGAAAATATATATGTATATTTGGTATACTGTTGTTCTTTGGGCAGCCTGAACTAAAACTCTGAGCTGGGGCTAAAAGGAAAGTTGTCTGTAACTCTGATTCAAGTGTTTGAGCTCGACCAGGTCTTCGTTAAGTTTTCACTTGTGAAATGTGAATCTTTTTTTCTCTTGTTTTCTCTATTTATATTGCATCTTTTTTCAGAGCATGTAGAACTTTCACCAGCCTCATATAGCTCAAGAGATCTCTGACCTGTGCAGATACTTCTAGGGCTACTGCAATAGCAAAAAGTAGTTGTTTGGGTGAAAATTGTTGGGCAAAAGCAGTTCTCTGGGTAAAGATGAATGATTAGTTGCTCAACAATGTTTTAATTCCACTTTTGTAACTCATTAGATTTTCTTCAAATAAAAGAAGCTTTAAAACAGTGCATTAACCTTCTTCTAAAAAAACCTTCATCTTCTATTGATGCTTTAYAGCAGAGGGATGGTTAAGAAAGCCTTCCATAACTGGGAGCTGGTGCATTGAACTGTAGCATTACAATTTTCTCAGCAAGCATGAGAATCTTTTGCATGTATTTGCCTGACTGGAATGTAACGGGTCAAATTGCGTGCCTTGGCTTAATTCCAGTAAACAGATTGAACTGTTTTTTTAATCTTTCTGAAATGTTTTATTCTGTTAATAAGTTATTTCACATGCAAAAGATTGGTAACCTTGTAGCTATATTGTATGAATGTGACACAGTCTTAAAAAAAAAAAAAAAATCTTGGGGGAGGGGGCTGAGAAGTTGAGATTTTATTTCTTTAAAGCCTTTTCAGTTATTAGGACAGTGCAATACTATAAGTCAGTGATTTTTTTTCAACCTATCTAGGGCTGTGCCCCAAAGAACAGAGGAGAGTTTGGTTTGCAGATGGTATTTTGCCAAATGGCGAAGTGGCAGATACAACAAAACTTTCGTCTGGAGCAAAGAGGTCATCACAGGACCTAAGTCCAGTAAACGCTGACTTACCAGAGATGGATATGGTATGAATTAAGAAGTGTGTGTAGGTGCATGAATTACAGGTCTCCTATAGTATCTGTGTTGATTGGGACCCCTTACACACAGTAACATGACTTCTGCTTGATTGCTTTTGGATCTGAACCAAAATTGTGGGGTTTTTTATTTGTTTTTGTTTTTCGGGTGGCTGTGAAGTCCTTGCATTGGAAGATTGTCAAGACCATACTTGAAGTCATATYGTTTTGGAGCATACGTGAACTTTAAAAGTGATATAGTCAAATGTATTCCAAATTGGTCTTTTTTTTGCACAACCTTTGATTAGCTACTTTGGTAGCTGCTAACATGTTTATAGTAAAGCAGTGTTTATCACTTCTAATGTGTACAACTAGTGAGCTGGGGGAGGCATTTTCTTTTTATAAGGTATATTCATGTTGAACTGTACATGCACTTGTCAGGGAAACTCAAGTCCAAAAAAGATACGAGTTTGCTTTGGAAGGGACTAGAGAGTTTGTCAGACTCGACCTCTTTTAAATAAAACATAGCTCTGAAGCTCTGCTGTAAGTTGAACATGCAAGAYAAGATCATATTTACTCTGACAATGCCGATGTGTAGCACAGATTGGTCCTAACTTCCGTAAAATGGATGCTAGTAAATGYGAGTTAATTCGAATAACAGCTCCCCTAGGTTGTCGATGGATCTTAACTTTCATTAATTGTTCCTTTTTTTTGTAGAATCTTTAATAGAGTCAGTAGGCTCRACGATCAGTTCAGGATAAGGAGGAAAAAGCTTTTTTTTTTTTTTGGGGGGGGGGGGGTGGGAATATCCTCACCTGTCGATTGGTCAGCAGGGGTAAAGGTAATGCTGTTCTTGTTGATGAACCAGCATTTTCAGAAAGGTTCATCATGTACTCCTAAAAATTAGGCAGCTATAAGATAGAAGAAAATGTCAGGTTCAGAAGAAATAGCCAGGTTCCTTGAGGAAGGAGTGTAAAGACAGAGAAGTATGGGCTGGCCTCAGTGCTACTAGGCATACGTGCAGATGACTGGCAAGGTAGAAGTAATTCAGGCAATGAAGGCAAATAGATTTCAGATCTTAATGAGCTTGAGTTGCCAAAGTGACAGGTGCGATTGTATGCCTTTAAAGGCAGAATAGGAATATATGTGATTTCAACTATGCTTATTGATACTATGTTTATGTTAGGGGGAAAAAATAAACAAAACTTGTGTCAGTGATTTAACCCAACAAAAATATTTATGCAGATATCKTTAAAGAACATAAAAAGTGGAGGGGGAAGAGTGAGCAATGTGTGTACAAGCAGATAGAAAATGAAAATGATTACAGAACCAAAGCGTCAGTGTTTTTCCCAGACCTAACAGCTTTTCTCTCTGCATTTTAGTACTAAGAGAAGAAYGTTTATTTTGTTTTGGGGAAAGATTAGCGCCTTCTCGGTTGCCAAAGATAAGGTTTAAAGTAGCATGGGCATAACAAACCGGGTGGTAATTAGTGAGTTTTGTACACAACTTTAGAAGCCCCAACAAACAAAGATGTACTACACTCTAAAGGGACATAGATACTTCTTCGTGCCACCCCTTATCCTAAACTTACTGCCACGGGGTGCTACGGAAGCCCAGCAATGTGGGTGCTGGATGCAATGCCATCCAACAAATGCATGGAAAGTTGTTCATGAAGGCCAGTTTGGTCATGGCTATGTAGTCTTAGGATGTGTCTTTGGGGTTAGTCATATAAGCATTCTCTTGGTGGGAGGTTTTCTGGAGGCTGAGGACCTAACCAAAAGCACTAGGACAGAGGAAGCGTAGAACTGTTAGGCCCTTGTTGCAATGCAAAGTCTTTCCTCTTAAGATAGGATGCAAGTCTATGTGYGCTTGCGTGATGGCTTAACAGATTTGAAAGGTGGTGGTTTGTGACTTGTTTTGTCTTTGACAATGGTTCTTWTCGTAGCCTGATTATACTCTGTTAGTTTGTCAAATCCATTTTGCTGAGGGAGCACCTTAGGGTTGACCCTAAACCTACAAATGAGTTGTGCTATAAAATGGCAGACTTACCTGCTAATACCTTGTGTAAAAATATAAATACTCATACAGTACTATACGACTGCTGTAAATTATGACAAAATATTCAAAAGATCTGAATGGGGGAGATATTACTAATAGTAAACGGGTTGCTTAAGTGATATCTGTTTCTTTTGTTGATTGTGTTGCATCTGACTATCATGTTAAAATGACCAACATGCAGCTGTGATGATTTTGTGTTAGAGGACAAATAAATTACTGATGCATCTTGGCCTAAAATAAAGACTAATGTCTTTTAAAGATGGAAAAAAGTAAGATATAGGAGAGATTTACCATTTTCTGCCTGTCTAAAGGAAATAGGTGAGTGCAGTTATGAGATTGTGCTGTTTTTGTTTCCTCGTAGGTTGCAAATCCAGAAGAGAATGACACATTAAGTGATGTAAATCCAAAGCCAAAGGAAGAAATGGATGTTACAGCAAGAACTGAAGAACTGTGTTGTGAATCTTCTGTTCCTTCAGATGATAGGCAACACGCCATTCTCAGGCAAACTGAGCTGTTGCCTACTTACCAGTCTGTCACTCCAGAAACTGAGGAATTCTCTACTGCTGCAGAAGCTGAAAAGTCTGCTCCCTGCTCGGTTGATTGGACTCAAAATGATTTGCCTGTTAGTCCTTCAAGTTACAGAGCACTGTGTGGTCTAGAAAAATGTGTTAGTAAAGAAGTCAGCCTACTTCCTGATGGTGATAAGCTACCACCACTTTTGCTCGCAGTAGGAGAAAACGGRAAAGGTAAAATTTTTGGACACRTGGTTAGCATCATATCACTTGATACAAGATTTCTAAATAAGAATCTTCTGTGTGTACAGTGTGTATTGTAATAAAATGTTAACTTTCATTTATCTGCACATTTATCTTTCATTTATATGCACATTGGATCATGGTTGATAACTGAGCWTGCATTGTTACAGAGATTCGTCTGTATGTTACAGAAGCACTTAATGTCACACAGTAGTGCTTGTGAGCACTGTTACAGTACCAATATGTGGATGAGGAGACAGCACATATAGTTGATCACTAGTTACAGATGGAACAGTAGCCCTAATTTATACATTTATTATAATTCCTGGTTTGTTTTATATGATAGGGTAGTGTTATTGGTAGTTATTCCAAGTTTAACAATACCACTCTTTCAGTATAGGAGAGAGGGGTGAACTTTCATGTGTGATCTGTAATTGGGTTTTTTTGTACATGTTAAACTAAATCAACTCTTTATTTATTTAGATCCTCTAGTGGAACTACATCCATCTCGCCAACAGGTTACCTCGCTCCTTGCAGAAGAAGGTCCTAATCCACTAACCTTTATCCTAAATGCAAACTTGCTCCTGAATGTCAAGTTAATATCTTGTAAGTAGTGCACATTTTCTGTTAAATCAGTCTCTTTTCTCCTCGTTATAAAACAATATTACTGTGGTATCTACCTTTAATTAAAGATTCTTCGGAAAAGTGCTGGTACTTCTCAACAAATGGACTACATGGCTTGGGTCAGGCAGAAATTATCATTCTATTGCAATGTTTGCCAGATGAAGAGACTTTTCCTAATGAAATACTCAAATTATTTATTGATATCTACAAGGATGTAATGAAAGGTATGTAATATCTGTTTGCTTTAATATCTTCTTGCTTATCTTTAAAGCTGGAAGTTAATCTAATTTTTACTGTATTATTTGTTGAGATCTAGTAGCTTTGTTGAATAAGCTACTTAGGTTCTAAGTAAATCCTGCAACAGGAGARCTAGAATTTGGCAAGGTTATTGTTCATTTAGTTTTGCAAACCTTCTGTTGATCTTTTTTTTTCTTACCCCTTTTTGTGGGATGTTTTGGGTATGAATCATTGAGTCTTGAGTAGAGGACACCTCGAGTTTCATCTATAGATGAAACTACAAGTATAGAAGTACAGGAAAGCTTCTGAACTTTTGATTAACATGACTCAAATATTTATCGAATTGCTACTTAGATGTAAAATGCTATAATGAAATACATTGTGTACTGGAATGCTTACACTTTGGAACATTTGTTTGGAAAAATCTAGTTGTGTATTCAAGGCTGCTGAGTTAGTAAATAAGAGAAAATCTTGCAGAAATCCAAATCCATACTCCGAATCCACATCCAAATCTATTTCAGCAAGAATTGACTTGTATCTTGTGGTTTAAAGCATACAAGAGAGCTACTGAGATTACACCACTTAGTGTTTTTCTTCTTATTACTCTTGATATGCAAATACTTCATCTGTCTCTTTTTCAACAGGAAGGTTGTTAAGAAATCTGGAGAACTTCACTTTTACTGAGAACTTTCTTGGTAACAAAGACCATGGAGGCTTCCTGTTTATTTCACCAACTTTTCAGAACCTCAGTGATCTGCCTTTGCCAGAAAACCCATTTCTGTGTGGCGTTCTCATCCATAAGTTGGAAACACCCTGGGCAAAAGTTTTTCCCATCCGTTTAATGTTGAGATTGGGAGCAGAATATGGGGGTAAGTTTTATCACTTAAAATGGCTCTATAAATGTAAAATTACCCATGAGAATGTGCGGTAGCCAAATGAAAAGTTCAAAGTCATCAAGACTGTGTTTTGTGTTACACAAATGTAGTATAGAATATCTGCACGTGTTTCCTACTCCAGTGATGAGGTGTTTACCCTCATGGTATTCTTACTCAAATAATCAGTAAGCCTGACAGCCCCTCTCACAACTGGTGACCCAAAAGCTGAACCTGGGGTGTTTCTTTCCATCTGCCCTGCCAGCTGCTATCAGATGTAACACAGTGAGAAATTGTGCAGTGATGGAAAGATTGGCCATGGGGGAGAAGCAAGCAGTGCGGGGGAGAAGCAAGCAGTGCCTGTGGTTCCTGAGGCTGCTCAGGTTTTGGTGAAATCAGAATAAACTCTAGCTGAACACATAAATACTTGGCTTGGCAAATTTTGTTGTAGTTGTTAATAACTAAATATCTCCTTGCTTTTCTTCCCCACTCTAGTGTATCCAACACCTGTAGTAAGTGTCAGAGACCGCAAGCCGCTCTTTGGAGAGATAGGACACACCATTATGAATCTGCTTGTTGTGAGTAAATGTCTCACTCTCTTCCCTTCCTGTTATAATTTAGATGAGGTAAAATAGTCTTGCAACTCAGATATTCTTTAAAGCTGATTTGTTTGTTTGTTTTTGCAAAAACAAAGGGTTAACATTTTTATTCTTCATACTTGACTTAGAGTCTTCATAGCAGTATTTGTGTGTGAATTAGGGGAAAAAAAGTATTTTTATTAGGTTGGTAATAGTCATTCTGCAGACTACTGTAGTCTGTGATAGCGTGTGCTGACACTGATAGATGATATTTCAAGTCACTTTATCAGTATTACTAGACTAAATCAGTAAATCACTTTTTTTCTCTTGTGRTTTGTATGAAGGGCAAATCATTAGCCATACCTAATGTCACTACTTTTCAGATTGTGAAAGTGCTGCGTGCTTAGATTAAATTATGGAATCTCTTAAAAAATGGAAAAATATGCTGCATAGAGTTCAGCCATCTCTTAACATAAGGACTGTCTGTTACAGGATCTTAGGAACTATCAATATACTTTGCATACCATAGACAACCTATTCATTCATGTGGAAATGGGTAGAAGCTGTATTAAAATACCTCGAAGGAGATATAATGAGGTGCGTATYAACATCTTTCTAATCCAAGCTACTTTAATCTTTATTTTCCACGTAGTACTTGCAACGTCTTTAACTTGGATGCTTTAAAAAATAAAAAATCACATTAGATCTGAGGCGGGGAAAAGGGTGGATTTGATTTCTGTGATCAGTTCCTAGGCTGTTGTGTGTTACTTGTCCAATAGATTGCAATTCCTCAGGTCACTTTGCTATTTGAACTTTAAATTGATGTAGATTTGTATCTCCAGGGTGAAATTACCTGAACAAATGTTTTTCTTCTTCCTGGGTATGTTGGAAGGCAGATAATGAGTGGTAAATAGGGCTTTAGGGTAACTGTTAAATTGTGAGAGAAATCAGCAGTTTATTGGAAATCTTTTAAAGGATATTTTCAAGGAGAACCCTTTACACAGCCCCTAAAGGTGGTGTCCTGCTTACAACTTCAAGAAAAATTATTTTTTGTCAAAGGGTGTTTCTTATTATATTTTGCTTACTTTGACTTCAGTAAAAAAAAAAAAAAAAAAAAAAAAGTGTAATAAATTCCATGAGGCTTAATGCATACGTCAGCCTTACAATAATAATAATAAAAAAAAAACCCCACAGACTGTTTATTTTAATGTGCAGAGGTTTTCAGACTGACTTATTTATCCCTTACTGAGTATTTTTGATCATGCATAGAAAATTTTTCTCAGCCTATCATAGCAAATCCTRTGGTGCAAACTCTTTAGAATGAAAAATGAGAAAAATAGTTCTTGATTTGTCTTGGGACCTGCCATTGAGCGAGTGTTTTGTGTGTGTGTTTTCTTTTAATATAAACTCTTGAGTGTTTGAAAGATTTTTCCTAGCTCTGCAAAATAGAGATTTGTGTCAATTTCATGATAAAAAAAATTTTGTCCTGGCAGGTGATGAAGGTGATAAACTCTTCTAATGAGCATGTAATTAGCATTGGAGCCAGTTTTAATACTGAAGCAGATTCTCACTTGGTGTGTGTTCAGAGTAAGGATGGTGTCTATCACACACAAGCAAACAGTGCAACTGGGCATCCTAGGAAAGGTAAGTTGTCTGATTTGTGGAGAACGATCACATCTTGGGGGCAGAAATGCAAGACTTAGTGATTTAGTTTGAACAGAAGAATAGTAGTCTAAAAGTGAAATAATTTAAATACAGAATATATATTTTTTTCTTRCCTATGATCACTTAGGCATCTTTTATAAATGTTTTTAAATGCAAATTAATACTTTTGTCTATTTTCTTTTTTTAGAAGATCTTATTTACACTTTCATACCTCATCAGGTTCTTTACCTCTTTCTAAATTTAGTATTAATGTGAATTGGAGGATATATTTATAGGTGTAGAGAAACTGTATGTAAAATACAGTGAGTATCTGTGTRCAACATTTGTCATACAAGTAGTGTAGTAAAGAGCAGTACAGTGCTTTGAGGTGTTGGGAATGCACWGCATTTCATCTGGGCTGGTAAATTTGTGRCTGCAAATTTGAGTGACGTGGTGACACTCATTTCTACTACTTCTAGTCACGGGTGCAAGTTTTGTGGTGTTCAATGGAGCCTTGAAAACATCTTCAGGCTTTCTAGCTAAATCCAGTATAGTTGAAGGTAAGAATTTAACACTGGTTTCTTAAAGAATTTTATTCATATGTGCATATGTATATTTTAGACTGCCAGTCTCTCTCTATATTTGACTAAGAGTCTAGTGCATGATCTTTATTTTACTGTAAGCTAAGCTTTTCATGATTTTGACTTTGTGGAAAATGTATTGCAAACCACACTGAATTAGTATGTATGTTGATGCACCTGTTTATTTTAATGCATATTAAGTTAAAACTCAATATGCATTAAAATAAATGAAGACATTTAATTCAGCCAATCCAGATATTTCCTTTACAGTTGCATACATATAAAATTGCTTTCAGTGATGAATTGATGAAATACACATTTTGAAATAAAAGTGCCAAAAAGTGAAGATCTAGCTCTATCCACCAGAAAAGTTTGCAGAACACTTCCTTTCGTGTAGTGTTAAAGCCATAGTTGGGGGATGGAGTTCAAGTTATGACCTGTGTGCCTTTATTAAGGAGAAGGTCCATTCTTGTAGAATTTAGACCAAGATTCTCCTAAAACACCCTTTGCTGCTTCTGTAGATAAGTGAGAGTTTTAACTGATTTTTCTTTTAGATGGACTAATGGTACAAATAACACCAGAAACAATGGAAAGCCTACGTCAGGCACTGAGAGACCAGAAGGACTTTAAAATAACTTGTGGCAGAACAGATGCAGGAGACRTAAAGGAATATGTAGATATTTCCTGGGTAGAAAATGAAGAAAAAACAAACAAAGGGTAAATGTATTATGAAAGCAAAACATCTTCTATAGTTAATTTGTTTGCAACTTTTAAATATCTACCTTTTATTTTGAGGAATTTATCTAAATTTTCTTTTTTATTGAAAGAAGGAATTTACATAATGAGATAGTAATGAGATAGTAAGCTGCCTGCAGTCCTCTAGATGTCACTAGAGATACAATTTTGCTTATCTTCCTGCAGTTTTTGTTCTCTACTGTGAAAGTTGACAGCAAGAGGCCTCAGGGTGTGGGGTTTTTTTTTTTTTTTTTTTGGTGTGTGTATTTTGGTGTGGGAGATTTTATTATTATTTCTCTATTGTCGAATGTTTTCTTTCAACACTGCAATTGGTCACAGTGCTGCCTTTTCCCGCTGACCCCCTTTTATTTCCCATGGTTTGAACGTTTGTTTGTATAGAGTCAAACGTTAACTATGATTATCAATCACTAATTCAAAACTCACTTGTTCATGTTTTAAACAAATACATGGTTTCTCAGGCCAGGGCTTGATTTACTGCCCCTTTTCCTTTTTTTTTTCTCTCATTAATCACAGCTTCTCTCATTAATCATAGCAAACAGGGACTTTACCTAAAAAGACTTCTAGTGGAAGATAAGTTTTGTGTTGAATGAGTGGTGTGTCTGTTTTCCATTTAAGCTTATTTGTTGTTTTTTCTCTGGATTTTCATGATGCAAGTTCTGGATTAGATTTTTTGTTATATGTCTAGTCATTCTCAAGTTTTATTTAAACATTGTGCTTTAAGCTGAATAACTTGTATGAAGTAAGATGTTAGTGTAACTCTGTTAACTATCTTATTATCATCTTCTCTAGAATTGTAAGCCCAGTAGATGGAAAATCAATGGAAGGAACTCGGAGTGAAAAACTACTACAAGGTGGAGACTTTGAAACAGACGGCAAAATTATGAAGTGYACTGAAGTTAGTAAATTATATTGTACCTGAATGTTTTTTTCTACCACTGCTTAGAGTAGTTACATGGTAATGTAGATAGAGATGCTACCAAACAAACCACTTACCTAATATGTGGCCACTCCAATTTACTGTTATCTGTAATTCTTTGAATTTGCATATTTTTCATTATTTTCCTTTTCAAAAGGGACTTAGTCATGTCTGTAAGTGTTGATAACTACTTAATTATGTAATCCAGATATCCCATAGCCACTCATCTATTCCCATAATTGCTCAATACATATTTAGATTAAACAGATCAAGTATTGGAATATTTTTGCCAGGAAACAAACACTGGTATTGATGGCTTTTTTTCTTCTCTCTCTCTTTTTTTTTTCTTTTTTTTTCTTTCTCCTGTATAACCAGGCTACTAACTGTTTTGTCTTCTTTACTTTCCAGGTGTTCTATTTTCAAAAAGATCTTGAACTATCCAGTCCTACTCCTCACCAGTTTGCTAAAGAGATTGCTATTGCTTGCRGTACTGCTCTTTGCCCACATCTTAAAACCCTGAAAAATAATGGAATGAATAAGATGGGCCTTAGAGTTTCCATTGACTCAGATATGGTAATCTTTCAACTTTTATTGCAGACACTACATTTCAACTTAAATCTTTCCTTTAAAGACCTTGGGTCCCTTTCAGTTTTTTTTATCCTCTCCTTTTTTTAACCATACCCCAGATTCAGACTGAGAATTAAATCTCATGTAGAAACTGTCCAAATAAATTGTTTCCCCTGAAAGGGTTAGGCCTGATTCTTTCCCGTGTCCTAATAGCTTGCTTAAAAAAGYATTACCAGTCCTTCGCTAGTTCTGACTTGGGCACTGATTTGCTTCCAAGGTAAGTCAATTTAGAAAATCATAGGGATAATTTTCTGAGTATATGCTTTTCTTGAAGTACAGTTTTCTGCCATTTTGGATCCCTGAGCTAGTTCAGTAAGAGGTACATGCACCAAAGCCTGTGTAGCGAAAGAGGACAGGTCTGCAGAGCTGAGACTGGARAAGAAAGCAAGGTTATCCAATAGATGATGCCCCTGAAAAGGACACAGAACACAAGTTCTAAGCTTCCTTGCTTCTTAAGGTAGTATTCTCAGTCATACTTCCTTGTGTTATTKCAGAGAACCTTGTAAATCTGCTTAGTTTCAACACGTTGCTGAAACATAAAAACTAATCTTAAAAGTAACTGTGRTTCTAGGAAAGAAATCACATTAAATCACCTCATTCTTGGACACCAATCTGGAGCAGTTTGGTGTGCAGAGGGTGTGTGGCCTTGAATCCTGATGGGAAATGCTATGTGTTTCTAGTGCCTCTGTCATTCAGTACTGGGTGAAACACCTTTTTTTCCCCCCCCCCTCTTTTTTTTTTTTTTGTTTTTGTTTTTGTTTTTCCTCTTCCCCACGATACTATAATTCTGTGTCATCTTGTTAACAGAAACTTTTTTCCTTGTAGGTTGAGTACTTGGCAGGTTCTGGTGGTCAACTTCTTCCACAGAACTATTTGAATGAATTGGACAGTACTCTGATTCCTGTGATCCATGGTGGGATGTCAGATCCTACATCTTTGCCATTAGAAATGGAATTAATATTTTTTCTTATAGAACATCTGTTTTGATGAGGATTATGTATATTGCATATAATATGCTGATTTGCTAGATGTGAACACCAAAGTTGTAATGCTAAAAACACTAAAAATATCTATGTCACTAAAACTAGTTTTGTCTTAATGGACTTTAAAACTGGGTTTTGTTTAAAAGCAAACAAAACCAACTTCAGGCTCTCTCTGGTTCTTTTACCACAAAAGAGTTGTGGTTTTTAATATTTCCTAAAGTTCTGAAACTTTACACTTGATACAGTTGCAGAAGAGGGTGAGTTTTGTCACCTCTTTACACAATTGTAGCATTTACTATGTGTATTGTAACTAAAAGCCATAGTATCTGCACTGTTGCCTCTTGACCTCAAATATTATAAAAATTGTAAACCATTATAAAAATTCTTACGGTTAGATCTAATCTACATCTGAAGCACATACTCTGCATGTGCAAATGAGGTAAACCTTGTGTGAAGTAGACTTAGCTGGCACAAAACTGTTTTCTTGCCTCCTGAGATTTAAATAGGTCTTCAGTAGTTGACTGCAAGCATCTTGTACAGATTTTAAGTGCATGCTCTTTGACACCTTGTGTGTGATAAGCAAGAGGAGAAGATTTTGCAGGTATGTTTATGAAGTCTGTAGTGGGAGAAGTCCTGACTTAATATTAGGATATTATGCTGGTGCTTCAGGAACATACGCTTCTAATTTTTTTTATAGAATAACTGATTTCATTCTTGTATTTATAAGATTTATCTAACTTAAATGATGCTATTTTTATAAATATTTTTTTTTTACTCTGTGTTCAAAAGTCCTGATACAATTTGACATTCCAAGGATGATTAAGAAACCCAATTACTCTTGAAATCAATGTAGCAATAAGTCAGCCAAGACTCCTGTCATATCTTTTCTGCTCCCTCGTGCTCCTTTTTGACATCTCTTAGCGGCCACCTTTATTTTCAGGGAGAACAGATGTATTAAGTGTAAATTTTCATGGACAGACTGCTTTAATATATCTGAGGTTCTTATATTTTTAATATTGGGTCATTAAGATCTATTTATATACTTGCAATGCATGTGACTTGTACAGAGGTTCAGTGAACCATAATCAGGGTTTGGTAACTGTCACTTAACTGTTTACCAAGAACAGAACCAAAACAAAACTATATCTAAGCTCTGTATTGTTTTGAGTAAAAATGCTGGTACAGTTTTATAATGAGAGACTATTAAAATTTTGCCTTCTTGATTCTCATAGGGGACACTGTTTTGTATGGAAAATAATTTGTAACAATCTAATCAACTCTGCTGTTACCTGTGCTTTGGGATACCAGTGCTGGAAGTGTTCAGGCTTCAAGATGTTAGGTCAGAGGAAACTGMGGATGCCTGTAATTAATACAGCTCCTTTCGAGAAATTGTCGTCCTGGAGAAAAACTGAAGACTACTTCCTATGTATGCACTGAACACAAAACAGGGGTGCTTGAGAACAGTTCGTCAGCAGACAGTCAAGGAAACATCACGGAAAGGGGGAACAGTAGGTGTGAGGGTGTCACTGTTAAGGGCGTTTGTACCAAGGGCTGTGGCTTTCTTCTGAGTTACCACAAACTAGATGGACATGAGCTGCTGCTTAAGTGGTAACTAAAGGAACAGCTCGCTCTTACCCCTTACCATGGTTTAATTCATTTTAAGTAATGATCACTAACAAATAAAATTGATTAAAATGTTTGATATTTTACCCTTCTATTTAAGAAAACCTTTTTCTGTGTGGTGGGTTTTTGTTTGGTTGGTTGTTTTTCCCATTGGACTTGTTTTTTGTTGCTGTAGTTCTTTAAATTGTTATAACTCTGAATCTTTTGAACTATTAGTGGTGTCCTGATCTATTCCTTGACAGTTCATTTCTGTGGAATATTTAACAGCGGCCTTTTTGTTTGGAGGACAGCAGCTGTTAAAAAGTGTGAGTTTTAGGCTCAGATATGAGGAACGCTGGGGGAAAAATAGCAGTGGTTTTGCTGTGTGGGAACTTTGAGGGTTTAAAGTTACTGCCGCTTGTGTCTGTGGCCTTACAATGCGAAAATAAATAAGTAAGYAAGGGGAGTGGGGAGCGTACGGGGCTGCGCGGCCGGTGGCGGCCGTTGCTGCCGCTGAGGGGCGCGGCAGCCGCCATGGCGGCGGGGCGGGGCGAGGCCATGGCCATGGCGGAAGCGGCGCAGGGTGCGGGCGGCGCGGCCGTGCTCGCCGGGCCCCGGGCCGCCGCGGTGCTCGGGGGCCCSCTCGCCTGTCCGCCCGCAGGAGCGTGGAGCGAGAGCGCGCTGGACCACTTTCTGCGGGCGCACCGCATCAAAGCGAGGGACGGGGCCGCAATCGCGTGGTACCACGCGGCCAACAGCCGGGCGCAGCTGCAGGCGGCCATCAGGTGTAAGTGGGGGCGCGCGGGGCTCTGTGCGGGCCCCGCGACCCGCGCCGCCCTGGGCGGCAGGGCTCGGCAGCCCGGCCCCAGGGAGACCCTTCCACCTGGGGCGAGAAGGGGACACAAAGTGCCAAGAAGTCTGGACACCTCACGGTAGTCATAGGCGGTACATAGGCACCTGCTGCGCGTTATCTCCTCGTCGTGGTCCGTGATGCGACTGCCCCTTGGCAGCCACGGTCACRGTGCTCCCCAAAGGGTGCTGCTGGCCTTCCAGTGGGGCAGGCACTGCTCCGTTTGCAATCCGCCCCAGAAAGCTGGAAAAACAGGAGAGGATCTGATCAAAATGCCAYCCAGGCAGCCTCAGGGTGACGGTCAGCATTGGTGCGCTGAAAACTGCCGTGCAAACATGCACATGAGGAAGGCGAAGCAAAACAGCCCCTGCACCAGCCTGCGTGGTGCCCCGTCGCCAAAGCTGCTCCTGTAGCAGCTCTGCAGAGTCACTGGGTGCTTRTCGGGGCCCTGCTGCAAACAGGGGCTCATCTTCTGAAAACAATTTCCAAAGGATCTGGAATATTTGTAGTCCTGCGTGGCTTGATCTCGTTTTTCAAGTTCTGGCCCACACGGGTTGGTTAGTATTAGGGGTGAAAGAAGGAGATAATACAATTTTTGCCAGTGTTAACATTCTCCCGTGGCCTTTTCTTCAAAAGTTTTGGAAACTTGTATTAAGAAKAAAAAGCTGAAATTTAGCATAAAAATAGTAGGTTAGCGTTTTAAGTTTTAATTTTGCTACACCCGTAAAAAACTGCTGCAGTTCCTATGMCAAATGTGTCTTTGAAAGTCAATTTTAACTTGCTTTTAGATTTCTAAAGAGCTTAGTGACTAGATACCCAAAGAAATGCTTTCTCTGTTGCCTCATAAATAGCAGCACATAAATTGTGGGTGATCCTCATGGAGCAAGTGTGCACAGTGCACTACAGGAAGGCTTTAATTGTGATTGGGAAATGGACACTGAAACTCTGGGGTTAGCTCACATTAGAGCCCTTATTTAAAATACACAGGTTCTGCTCACATGGTAGAAGCAGATGTTCTTCTTCGGGGTGGCCAGGGAGGAAACRGTGACCCTATCATGGCTCATCCACCTGAAACAGACAGTGACAACACGTTGCAGGAATGGCTCGAAGAGATTGTGAAGACAAACAAGGGCATCAAGCTGGATTTTAAGAGGTATATAAAAAAACGTAAAGATATTTTGCCTTCTTGCTGACTAGCTCTTACTATTTGGACTAATTATCTGTTGGTGATAGTAGAGCAAAGATATTTTTTTTAATGTGCAGTTTACCATGTTTTACTAAATAGAACATGGTCGGTGTTACTGAATGTATTATGAGAATTAATTTTTGGTTTTAAGCAGTATGAATTATTGAATGAATTACTTTTCAGCAGAAGAGGATTTTTGAATCATAATCAATTTTTAAGAGATGAAGGGAAGCTATTGGTGGTTAACTCATGGTTTTCAATAAGTATTTTGTTCAGTTTTGCCTGTGACTTTGCACAGCAGTAACTATTTTAATTTTTTTTTTTTGTATGCCAAGTATCATATGCTGAATTGTTTAAGTAACTTGGCCAAACTAGTTAAGAAGTTGCTGAAATGAAGAATTAAGATTGGAAAAAAAATACGTTATTTGTGTGTGTTGAACATTTCYTAATGTTTAGGGAGATGGATGAGTGCCTCTCTTTTCAGGAGGCAGAGTTTGAAGTGTAGTAGAAATAGCTTCATTAGTCAGGAATAGCTTAAAAGCGTATACAATAGCAAGTGGATCTTGCTAAGTGGATGCTAAACTTTTTCAATTCTCCAGCTTCCCACCCCTACCTCTAAAGTGGAGTTGAGCAGAATGGAAAGACAAAACATGGACAATTTGTGACCAAAAAAAAAAAAATCAATCTTCTGCTTTTATTAAATTACGGAAGCAAGGGACTAGCCCTGAAAATATCTGCAGTTTCAGGTAGAACTGTCAACTGAGACTGGAGGAACTGTGAAAATCATGTTACATATTAGCATTGTGGAGCTTGTGGGCATGAATTTAAAAGTGAAGTCATTCTCCCAATTTCTTGAGACTAAATTATTTTAGCGTTGATAAGTGATGCTAGTGCTATGTTACATGATGACCAAGAGGAGGGGCAGTATTTTCTCCATTCTGTGAAAAATCTTTTAAACTAGATCATCTTTCATTATACTACGTTGCTGCTGCTTACTTATYGAGCCTAAAAAAATCTGCATCTGATAAGCAGAATTTTCATGCGGTCGCTTAAAGCTCAATTCTTTGTAATACAGTAACCTAAGGAAACTTACACAGTTCAACAGTTTTGGGATGTTTTTGCTCCAGAAAGAGCAAAACCTCAGGTTTGGTGACCGACTCTTTGTCATGCATGAGAGATTCACCTCACTTGTGAGAGAGAAGCAGCAGTATGTTTTATTGAGGTGAGAGCAATATAGCAAAGTCTGATGGTAGATGGAACAGGTTCAACAAGATTCGATAGCATTTGAATAAGATTATGAGGAGGTTGAGCCTTGAGGTTCAGAGGGGYCTGGTGCAGCTGGATCCCGTCTTTGTCCTGGACTTGATCAGTGGTTTACGTCTAAAGAATTATGTGCACGGACAGATGGAGATGTAATGTAGCAGTATTTGAAAAGCCTCAGCATGCTGTTTGTCACTTACCCAGTGTCTGTGTAAGGAGCATGTTGACCATCGAGTCATCAAAAAAGTAAGAAGATGTATTTGGTGTCTAGTCACAATTAATCTGTGTCATTGCAGGTTAGTTTATGTATTTTCGCCAGTTGAGTCTGTTAGAAGAAGTAAGACCAAATTCTACCCCAGGGCCGAGGATCTAGCTAACCTGAGTGTCGTAGAGATGATCTTTTCAGGAAGCTGCAAATCTGCAGAATCTGCAGTTACGTGAAGTAACTTCTCTTTGATAATTCAAGAGTTGCCATCTGTAGCAATTCAGTTTCAGTTAGGATACATCTAGGAACCTTTTGCACAACCTGCTTTCTGGACGAGGGTTTCTTTCTTTGCTCGCATCTTGCTGTTAAGGGTGTTGCCTGTATCCTTCCCTCTGGTAGAAAGTGAGCTCCTTCCTAGGACTCACAGAAGGATTGATAATCATTAATATGCTTAGAAGTTTTCTGTTAAAACTCTTGTGTTAAAAACAGATTTTTTTTTTTTTTAATGATCTATCATCTATCCTGATCTATCATCTATCCTGAGCGATTTCTATATAGCTGGGAAAACTAAACTGGTGGTGCCTCTCTGGAAAGCTTGTGTCATGCTCCTGCAAGACAATATTGGCACTGGGAAATTGGAGAGAGGCCCCCAGGCTGCAAGGGGAGCAGCTCGTGGGTCTCTGCAAGTAACAGAACCTTCCTGGGATCCTTCCCTCCCATGGGAGGGGAACGGAAACGTTGSCGCCTTCCAGGGCTTCTGATGAAAGCAAAATCCTGTTCCAGGACTGCTGAAGTTTGTGGTAATTCAGAAGCATCAGCCAATATCTACATGAATTTTTATTTCAGTAGGACCTTTATTTTTAAAGAAGAGATTTCTATGTCCTAATCAGCTCCAGTATTAATAAATGCTTTAGAGTGAGTCCATTCAAGAATTAAGAGCAATCCTTTAAATACCTTATCTCCTGCTTCATGGTTATCTTGTGGCGCTGAATTTTTTTGATATGGATTCTATCAGAATCTATTCCTCTGCAGAGAGGAAGCTTTCCTGCTTTTTGTATGCTGAACTGTGTGTTTGTTGAGGTAGTTTCTTTTTTCTTTTTTTTTCTCCCCAAATTTTTAATTTAGATGTTGTGAGTTCAGTTGGAATTTTAACTATGCTATTCTGTAAGTGTTAATGGAAAATACACCTAAATCCCATGAGATTGCTTTGAAAAGTTTTAAATGATGTTCAAAGCAAGCTGCAATTTTCAGCTATACACCTCTGCAGTTCCTAACTTTCGCCTTGTCTGCACATACATATGCAATGTCTGTTTTTGGAACAGATGGAGAATTCACCTCYATGTTAAAAAGAGCTTGATTGAGGTCTCGGGGTACTACAGAAATGCAAAAATCGATAGTTGTAAAATGTGATTTGTGCTTTTTGTCCTGCATAATATAATTTTCACAGTAATGTTTTGTCAAAATGTAAGAAACGTGAACAAGCTTCATCCTTCTGTTGTCACCAAATCTGTAGATATCTGCCAGGATATGGAAGGGCAAGGAGAAGTAGATTTATAAGTTTTCCTTTTAATTATTGTTCAGAGTCATTTGAAGACCACTACTTATTTTTCCACGGGGAGTTTCCAGCCAGGTGCAATGACTTGGAAAAGCTTTTAAAATAATATGTATTATGTGATTCCAATCATAGAAAAGCATGTAAAAGCCACAAGCACACAGTGCAGATGTATTTAAATGAGTAACATGGGATTTGATCTTTTGGATGGTATTTTTTTGAGTACCGTTGCAGAAGTATTAAAGCTGCGTGGCTTGCAGGGAGGTGTGTGTGCAAAGTGTGTGAACGTTTGCTGTTGTCGCTGCTGACGCGCCGGTTGTGGCCGCAGCCTGGAAGCTGTGCGGCCCTCGCTGCAGCTCCTTGGGCGCCAGAGGCAGCGCTTGAGGCGCCCCGTGTGGCTCAACGCGGACGTCCTGCCGGGGCCCAACGGCAGCAGCACCGTGGTGGATGCCAGGGGCTTCCTCGACGCCGTCACGGCCTCCTGTCCGGATGTGACCCTGTCGCTGGGGTGGTCGACTGGCTGGCAGCCTGCAAGGCAAAATAGAGGTAAGGATGGGAAATACAGGCTGTGGAGCTGGTTTTGTGCAAGAGGGACCAGCGGAGAGTGACAAAGATGGTGAAGGGGCTGGAACGTCTCTCGTATGAGGAGAGAATGAGTGAGTTGGGGCTGTTTAGTGTGGAGAAGAGAAGGCTGAGAGGGGATCTGATTAACATGTGTAAGTTGATGAAGGGAGAATGTAGGGAGGAAGGGGCCAGGCTCTTCTCAGTGGTGGCCAGTGAGAGGACAAGGGGATGTGGGTGTAAGTTCAAACACAGGCAGTTCCATCTCCATGTGAGGAAGWACTTCTTTCCTGTGAGGGTGACRGAGCCCTGGAACAGGCTACCCAGAGAGGTTGTGGAGTCTCCTTCTTTGGAAGTCTTCGAAACCCACCTGGGTGCCGCCCYGTGCTCTGGGTGTCCCCACTGGAGCAGGGGGTTGGACTTAGATGATCTCTAGAAATCCCTTCCAACCTCAACCAGTCTGTGATTCTGTGCAAATAAATGGCATGCATTCTATCAGTTTGAAAATAGTAGTGATTATGAAGAGTCTTATTGGTGGGTATTTGATAATATGTGTTATATAGCAGTTGGCTATACAGCAGTTAGCTCTGTGGCTAGTTGAAATACAGCAGATCTGTTTGAAGCTCTGATTCTTGTTGTTGTGGAACTCATTCTCACATAYTGAGGAATTGTTGGGCCAAATTGCTTAACCCTATTTCAGGCAGGGCTGCTCCCTCAATTACAACAACAGATTTGATTTGTTAGTTGAAAGAAGAAAAATAACACATTAGCTGGTAATTTAAAATCTATCAAAGTATATTTTTTTATACTTTGTTTTCTCTTGAAAGGTAACTATTCTACAAAATGTATTTTTGATAGAAATCATATTTGCAAATATTCTTCCTTATTTTTAACCAAATAGTCTTTATTGTAGGCTATGACTGGATGATGGTGAAAGAAATGGCTCAGATATGCAGTACTCTTTCTCAGCCTGTAACTTTCCCTGTAAGAGCAGCCTTGGTTCCACAGTCGCTGTCTGAGCTCTGCTGGTTGTTGCAACAGTCAGACAGGTAAGTGTCAGGGAAGTATTTTAGTTTTGTTGTAAAGGCACATATTGGTTAATGTGAAATATGAAAGTATATTTTTATTGTTGTTTTGTTTTTAATTGGATGTAAATGATTTTGCTATAAAACTAATGCATTTTGCTTAGGTACTTCATGGAATAAATTTTGTGGTTTCCAATATGAATTAGTTTTTATTTTTAAATAGTCACACAAGCCTCTTAATTTTTTAGGAAAATTATACCTCTCTAGCAGAATGAGAATAAAATCTTCACATATCTTGTAATTTATGCATCTTGATGATCTTATTCTGCTCATCTAAGCTTATTAAAGTTGTTCCCAAAGCACCAGTCAAAGTCCTCGGTCAAAGTCCCAGACAAACCCTTCAAGGCAGACATTTGTTAGAAAAATACATAGAAAAAACAGAACAGTACAAGGGATAGAAAGATGAAAYGCTGTTATTCTCATATGCAGTAGAGAACTGGTGAATAAATTATGCTTAAACGTCTTTTACTTTGGAAAATTCATTTCAAAATGCTTTTATGTTAAAAATAGATTTTTTTWAAATTGTGCCCATTTCAAATATTTCATCATGATATATTAAGGTTTTGTCTATTCTCTAGCATAAAAATTGCAATTCTTTAGCTGCAAGATTAGAAGATAGAATTGCTGAGACCGTTTTGCTCAAATACAAGTAAATTCTGGTTTACTAGGTTTTTTAATTAATACAGTTTAAGAAAACAAAGGGTTTGGAGTAGCATTTTGCCATTGCCAGGAACATGAAGGCAGTGTGGTAAGGAGAGTGAAGGAGAGACCCTTGGATGCTGCTTGGGCTCCTGCTTGTAGCACAGAGTGACAGAAAGCAGCRTCAGGGAATGCAGGGGCTGAGGAGAGCAGGGACATGTAGAAGTCTAAAACTGGGATTTCACAAACTGGTTGCCTAACTTTGAAATGTAAAGAGCTTAATTTTATATGCAATTACATTCCAGAATTATGACACTGTTCTGACTAATTTTAGAAATTTATTAGTGCCATTTCTTTCTGTCTTGTATGCTTAAAATAACAGCCTATCAGTTTAAACTCTCTCTCTCTCTCTCTCTCTCTCTTTTTTTTTTTTTAATATATAGATATAGCCTCACTGTTTGGACAGGAAAGCAAGATGAGTATTCTGTAGAAGATTTGCTGCATGTACGAGAGCACTTCGACAAAAGTAGGGTGTATTATGATATCCTAGAACCACAAAATTCGGAATTCAAAAAAGCCATAGGAATAGAATATTAAATGTGATGCTAGCAAACTCTGATGTCTGTCTTGAATGTGAAAGTTTCTTTTTCAAGAGRATGTTTGGGATATTTTCTTCCCCAATTGTATAGAAAGTATCCATGGATAATGATTCCTTTGTAATAATACTTTAAAGGCTATTCAGCTGGAAAAATAATGCCTTCTTTCATAGGTGAGAATGGTTATTTGCTTATCATATGCATGTTCCCTCTYCTTCGTCCAGTATCAAGTAGCAAAGACAACTCATGTTCCTTAAAACCTTGCAGCATGCAAGAACATTTGCAAGTATCTGAARTGATATGATACTGGCCCCAAGGTGATGTTGGTAATTTGCTATCAACTGCTGATGTGCAAGCAGAGTGCGTGAGACATTCTGTCTCTACCAAAGACCATATTTTTATCTTTTGTACAGAAGGACAAAAGAAACAAGACTAGTAAATACACCAGAATGCATGTCCTGAAGGAGCTGCTTTGTAACTTATCTCGATACCACTGTATTTTTAGTGCTGTCATAATTGGTGATGTTCTCACCCCATGTCAAGAGAAGACTGTTTGCCAGCTGTTCCTGGTGGGATCCGTGGTGATCTACTTTGTGCCCGTGCTGGGCAGAAAGTGGTTGCTTGCACAGAATTAGCACTAAATCCGTTCTGTGCAGTGCAGTCCTCAGGCGTTTCACATGCTGGCTTCCCACCATTGAAAGAGCTTGTGAGGTGGAGAAGTGTTGACTGTTCTTTCAACTGAATGCACCTGTCACAGGCAAAATGTTCTGCTGAAGTCTTTCTAAAAGCCWGAGGCTTAAGAAATGATTTACAGTAATTATTGCTTACAGCAATAATTGTGCAGTTCTGTGATTGTACAGTTATTTTCTGTATTTTTCTGGATTTATATGCTTTTAACTCTAGTGATGCTACTACAGAAACTTACAGAAAGTTGAACTTTATTTGAGGAAAAATTAAATTCATTGCCACAGTGTTTATTATCTGCAGGAAAAGACTGCTTTATTTTAATCATTCTTGCCTCTGTTGCTTTTCTATCTCCTAAAATGTACACTGACAATGAAATCTCTGCAGGTGAAAATGCAGACTATATACTGCTGTCTCTGCCAACATTTTCTCCCACCACAGCAGTAGAGGTTTTCATTTCTAGTTGAAGGCTGTTTCTGTGAAGAAGCATTTCCTTGGCACCTTCTTGCCCCTGTCTTTCTGCTCCTCTCGCATCTTAAGGAAAAACGTTAGATTTTCATTTTATCTAAAGTTTGATTATACCTGCACAAATCAAATCTTTAAAAAATTACTATTATATTGGCAGTATATACCAAATACAGGTTGTAATAGTRTGTTACATTCTTTAATTCTCAGTAAATAGTTACAGCAAACTGAAAATGTTACTGAAACTGAGCGGTCGGATGAATTAAAATTTAAGAGCTGCAAATACAGACTGAATTCAAATTCTGAATGATGACATTCTTCATTTCTTTCATCTTCTGTTAAGGCTTACCAGTTTCTTCCATAAAGCTGTCACATTTATGTATGGGCTGAGGGGGTGTGGAGGAAGAGAGAAACCCTTCCAAACCAAAATCTTTGAGAATTTCCAGTGCTTTAAATATTTAATATATGGATTGTAAATGCTTTGCAATAGGAATTTTATTGTCTTTTGATGTTGTGCACAATCCTGGGCAAGCTGTTAGTAATAAGAATTGACTGCAATATTATTTTGTTCTTACAAGCTTTTAGTATTATTATGCATCTTTTCTAGATGTTATATTCTTTAAATCTAAATCATGAAATACTATGATTTTGTGCTGTCATTAAAATTCAAAGTTCATGGCTGTTCATGAACCTTCATTACCTTTACCAGGCTTACAAAACAATTGTGCAACATTATGGAGGGTTTGGACTTTCATCATTTTTCTTATGTATTTAGCTAGAATAAAGTTGCTTAAAACTAGGAAATACCCAAATACTTCTCCCAAATAGGGAAGAAAGTATCTCATTGTACCTGGAGTAGTTAAACAGGGAGTGTACCTCATTTAATGCACCCAGCCAGTTGATATGAATGGCAGTAACTCTCAAAAAGTCATGTAATTTTTTGATCGTGATCAAAAAAGCTTGATCATGTAATTCTTTATAATGAATTGGTGGGAGTGATGTGTTTCCTGGTGCAGTGYGACAACATGATTTGAAATGATTTAACTCCTCTTTTTCTGAAGTATCTGTTTATGTTGCCTCTGTGTGCACAACTCCCACCATTGTAGAAGAAGACCATGGGGAAAAAGGTATTTTCGAACCTGCCATAACGATGTAAAATATTTTAAATGTTTTAAGTAGGAGAGCTGTTTTGAACCCACATCACTGATTAAACTACCTAGAGAGGTAAGGAGTTATGTTCAGTTTCCAGTGAGGTGGTTTGTGTTGTTTAGGATTTGGTCTCTCTTGCACGTCCATTGCTAACTGCGTTTGTGTTTGTTTCCCTGTTTTCATGCAAGTTTTGATATCAATGTTTGGTAAAAACAAATGTGTTAACCTGGGGGCTAGCAACAGAATAATGAAGGTGAGATGAAATTTGGTTGTTTATTCTATTGAAATCAAGTTTCTGTAACAGTGCTTTGCTGGCCTAGGCACTGCTGTCTCTCTGTGGCATTACTTTCTTTAACAATGTTGTTTCATGTCTCAGCCCAAATTTTAAACTTGCTTGACTTTACGTGGACAAATTTGTTTGACTTTAATGAAACTAAGCATCACTCATTAAGTGTTTAACAGTTACATTTGTACTCCAGAAGGACATCCAGATAAGTTAACAGAGTAAACCATTTCTGGTAAACTGCAAGTGTAATTCAATCTTTTTATTTTTATGTGAATGTGATTGAATTTATGTAATAGATAATAAATTGCAGTAGAAAGATGACATTGTTTTTCCTGTATAAATACTGAATAATAACCTGCAGCAAGGTGCAGGTATAATGATGACAGCAAACCAGAAGCTATTCTTCTGAGATTTGTATTATTTAAATTTACTGTCAAAGAAAATGCTCCCGAAGACCTAAATAAATAAAAAGAATTAAAATATTCTCCCCATCTTTATCTTCAGCATTTATCTGAAAAATAGTTCTGTTTTAGTCTTCTCTGAGTGTAAAAAGCTGTCTCTTCATGCTAAATTAAAACTTTCTATATTTTCTTTTTCATCCAGCTGTCTATGATGAGACCCTTTGCTCATGTTATTACAGATGTGTTTCTGCACTTAACTTTCCATTAAAGCCTGTTTTGTGTTGCTAAGCCCAAGCATTGTCTATCATTCCCCTGTGTTTTTTTTGTGCTGTGTTTGGAGAGTGCAGAATTTGATTCCAGCACGTGGTGCTCATGATGCTCATTAGCTTTCTCCTGTCAGCCCCAGGAAGCCCAGCTGAACATTTCTGCTGCCCTTGTGCAGCATCAGGTTTATATAAACCTTCACTTCCAAACCCACCTGCCCCCAGGAAATTATGTCATTCGGGATAGAAAAGACAGGGATAATGAATAGGGTAGGTGGTTTTATAAGATGTTTAATAACTTGGTGATGAAACAGCCTGGTCCTTCCTTTAAGCAGAACAATAGAAATTACTGTATTATGGGATTCAGAAATGTTTGGGCTGTGTTTTGTTTTGTTTTTATTTGATTTGAAAAAAAGAATAGGCTCTGGGAAGAGTCTGTTGGAGTAATACATCCAATATGCTATATTGCAATACATCCAATAAATGCATCCAATAGCTCCAATATTAAGAGGAAGACTTCCTTAAATTTCAATATTCTTTAAAGATTTTCATCAATTTATTTTAGCTTTCTTCAATTTTCAGGCAGTTTTTCTTTTCAAAATGATAAGTAAGATATTACCGTAATAAAAAGACAACTTAAAAAGCTCCACATTAATTAGATTTTTTTCTACCATAATACTAAATGTTTTTAGTAAGTATAGAAATTTTAATTTGAAAGCTATTATTGTTTTGTTTTGGCAAGTCCATAGACTTTTTTTCTCCGTGCTTTAGCTTGTTCATCTCTTGTTGCAGGAATATCGTGCTCATGTGGTGGAATTCTCTGCTCCTGGAGCCTATCTTCTATCTGTTCACTTCTTGTGTATAGCAGGAGTTTTATATACAGTCCCTGACTGACCTCTAACCAAAAGCGAGGGCTGCTGCATAAAATCCAAGCTAGGTTCTTGTATCAGGCTTTCTCTTGCTGCTTCCCTCCCAGGATTTTAACAGATGGATTTTGGCCTATGCCTGCAAGTGGCCTAGGAGGGGACTGTGTTCTTCCAGCTGCTGCTATTTCCAAGTTGTCTTTTCCCTGGAGTTTGCTTGTAATTGTGGTACCCTTTGGTACCTCCCTGGTGGGGATGCTGCCTTCTCGCTGCAGAGCTGGGGTTGCACTGGGGTGGCAGGTCAGCGTGTTCCCTTTGCCGGCCTCGCTGCTGGAGCCCTTAACCTCTGCCACAGGGTGCAGCAGGCAGCTGGGAACGACTGCTGTAGCAGGGCTCCTTCATTAAAATCCATGATAAAGAACTGCTTKTCTTGTGCTTCCCAGTGCATTTCGAGTAAAAAATTAGTGTTTCTGTCATTTTCTGAATTTTGAACATTTGAATTTTGGAGGCAGTTATTTGTTTTCTATGTCTTTTTATTCTGTCTTTGTTCCCTTTAATATCTCGCATTCTTCTGTCATTAAAGCAGATGCTTTCACTGTTATTCCTGTCATTGCTCTAAACTAAAAAATTTGCATATGCAAATCTGTAAACTCAGTGGGAATCTGTCTGAGCAGAACTCAAATGTTCTAAAAAATGTTTTAAAAACATGTTCTGTTTTAAAATTTTATGTACAGATAGATTGTGTATCGTAAATGGACCAACTTTTCAGGGGGAAGGTTGTAACTCCTGCTGTCTGTGGTAGCTTATATGTTCAAAATTTCTAGCTAACAGCTTTGGGAAAGGAGCAGAAGGGTTGATTACATTCCATTGGCATGCATGTGTATCTGGATTTCGGGAATTTGGGGATAACCTGGACTATATACATTTTTTTGTGTGTCCCATTATGCATTCTRAAGTCTTAACGATTTTTTAAGCAACACTTGATGTCAGCTGAATATAAATTCACTTTCTTTTTCCTGACCTGGAACACAAACTCTGAATTAATATTAGACCTAAGATGTGATGCCAGACAGAGACCTGCATTATAGGAGATGCCATCGGTTTTGATTTCATGTAGATGTTCAGAATCTCGTGGCCATTTCTGAAGTGTTGAAGCGTTAACACCTTGTCTGTCCGAATCTCAGGTTGGGCGAGTGGAAAGCTGTCTGCATTTCTGCTTGTTGCAGTGTTCCCTACCTGAATGTCATGTGTTGAGCCCTGCAGGTGAGCTGAGCTCAACAAGACCAAGCTTTGGCATGAGCCCTGCTTTGGCAGAGCAGGAGGCTCCTTGGCCTAAGTGTTTTCCTGATTCAATGCCACACTCCACCTGGTATGTAGTAGAAACTGTTGGAGAGGATTAATATGGATGCAGGATTAGTGGTAAATAATTCTGCTGTAGTGCCTGGAGTTTGCAACCYTGGAGTTTTAAGAGGGATTTATAAGGAATTTGTTAACTTAAAGGATCTGCACAAAGTAGCTTAGCGTCTTGAATCATCAGAGTGACGAGGCCACTAATCAGCCTCTTGGGGTTCTCATGCTCACCCTGTACAAAAGCACATGCCGATGTGCAAATTGCTTTTTTTTTTTTTTTTTTTTAAATAGAGGAAATGTTAAAACCAAAAGGTGCTTTCTTTATACCAATTATAAACATCAGCTGCCAAGGAGACACTTCTGTCAGATGATGAGATAATTCCTTCTCTGAAGAAGAGGAATTTTGCACAATATTCATGTTTTAAAGCATGGCTAACTTGTGGAGAAGAGTACAAGAACTATTATCTTTTCAAAAGGATTTTGAGCTGTGTGTTTTATGTAAGTAATTAGTCATAAAAGTTGGTATTTTATTGCTTTCACCTTGCAGAGAAAACCTTGGTTTTCTCAACATGTATCCTTATCAAAATGATCTCCCTGAAGCTTTTAGAGAGCCTGCAAATCTTTAAACTTTAAAAAGAAAGAGTTTTTACAGGAAATATTGTACAAAATGCAGCCTTCCCTCAAACTCTCCACTTCAAGATGAAGGTGAAAAAAGCTCATCTGCATTCTGCCTACAGTGTGTATGTTTTTGTAGGATGGTTGGTTGTGACTAAAATCAACCTTTCTGTAGGAAGTCGTGCTCYTGGAACATGAACGGAATAGTAAAATGTTGGAGTGATGGTTTACTAATGTAAGAACCCCCCTGAACATAAATACCTAGGTTTGGTTGGAAAAATAATTAGCTATGCTGCTTAACAGATGCAGAAAGGTGAAGGGCCCATCAGAGCTTGATGAGGAAACAAAAAGACATTCATTTAATGACTTCTAGTTTAGTAGTTTTCTTTTGTAACTACATCAATTTATGGTAATTTTTTTTGCAAGTGCTACATTCTTTTTCAAAACTGTAAAACAAAACAAAAAACTGCTTTAACTCTGCCTTTCACCTTACAGATAAACGGACAAAAAGCACAGGGAAGGATATTTTGCAAACTATACTTTGAACACTGGATGTATGTTTAAATGTCGCTGCTTTACAGCATTTTTTTGCAGCAACTATCATATTTCTTAAAGTATTAAAGATAGTACTTGAGAGCCTGGTTTGGGATGATCACTGTTCTTGTGAGGCCACCATTATTTTTCAAGGAGAATAATTTTACTTTACAGTTTCACAGCGTTTTGCRGAGAAAAGAAACACGGAGGATAAAATATTTTCACCTTTTAAAACTCTTACATGATCTGCAAAATTCTATCCTATAGATCCAAAATTTAAAAATCTCTTAAGTGGCCTAATTTCCTGAAAGATGTACCTTATTTTGATGAGCATGTGTACTCACAGAAATGTTACCTCCATTTTAAATGCTTTAAACTGAGACTGYGTAAAGATTTATGACATTAATCTTTGGTGAGTGGATGAGTTTTACTATTACTTTCACTATATATATATATATATACATTCTTACAGCAATTCCTATAGCATTTCTGTCTTTTCAGAATCTGCTTTGATGTACAGATCCCAGCAGTAGCCTCAACTAGTGTCCAGCCCCTCTCCTGCTCTTTGGTAGGTCTCTGTCCACCTCCCTAGCCACAGAGCAGACATTTCAGAGGTCGCCTCTCAGCTCTTTCACACATTATTCACCACAGCTCCCTAAGCAGTCTTTTTTTCCAAGAGATACTGCTTCCTGGTGTATTTGATGTATCATCAAATATAAATATCTTGCCTTTTTCTAAAATGCCTGATTATATATGGCCCTATCAATATATATATCATGCGTTTGCTTGTACCCAAGCCACCAAGCAATCCATGTGAGATGTTTTTAAACCAAATACTGCTGCTGATACAGGCCCTTGTACTCAGTTACATAGATGGATTTCAAAACTAGTATAGTTGGCATCACTCAATTTGACCAAGAATTTTCCGGGCAAGTTCTGACGCAAGGCAGCATTTCCAGCTGGTATGTTTAATATTGATTAAATTAATGATCCAGGTGATTTGAATAGGAATAGTTCATGTCCTTAAAGTTAARCATGTGCACAAGTGGATCGCATTTAGTTCAGCTGCAGTCACTGAAGCACTGGTATTTTGTTACGAGRCTGACAGCGGCTTAGACTGCATTTGAGTGTAGTGTTGTCATCGTGCAGYTAAAAACAGCAGCCTAATTTAAATACTGTTCTAATAAGAGTGATAATTGAGATCCGAGCTGCCCGCTTGCACACCAACGTGCCTGGAAAGCTTTTTAAACTAAAAAACTTCCCACAGTTTTTATGGGAATATATGAATTAGCGCAGGCCTAGACCAGACTGTTCTTTCAGGCTGAGAAATCATGCCTCTTAAAAGGAGAACTAGCAAGGAAAAAAAAATCAGCTTGTGATTTTCTTTAAGTACTTAATTAAGTATAAGATATTTCTAATGCTATCGAAAAAATAATTTTAAAGTGAGACGTTTGTCTTTCCTACCCCGCCATCCCCCCTCCCATAATCTAAGCTTTTTGCAAATAATTACTGTTCCTTCTATGGACACACTAGTCTCATTGCATGTAATTAATTATAAAATTCAAACAGGAGGAATCTGGTTTTATACATCAAGCAAATAAACCAGTTAGAATAGCTAGTCTTCAGTTGATACTGTCTAAACCAGATTTCATTAAAAAAAAATCCTTAAAGAGGTATTTCTAACAGCAGATATTTAACTTCAAGATGAATAGAAAATTGCAGTTTCCATTTAAATTATCATGAAAACATGTAAAAGTATAGTTGCTTTATGTAATGCTTTTTTGGAATAACTTGTATTTAGTTACTAATTTGTTATTGCTTACTGTTGTATCACTTAATTCCCCTGCCATAAACCCATCACTGTAATCTTTCTTGTCTCTACGTGCTCTATGTGGATGCTCATGCAGCTCGTACTGCAGTAAAGGCAGTTCTTCATCTAGAACCTGAATGGCACCAAATACTCCATGAGTCCCCCGCATCCTTCCATCAGTCRCGAGTAGCTCTCAAAATGCACATAACTTGTTTTCAGGACTTTCTCATTTTGGATACRAAACTGTGCAAACATTTTTATATTAAAATAAGTCAAATGTAAAGAAAACAACACGTAGATCGTTGTGGGCTTTTTCAGCTACGACATGTCAGGTTCAAGGGAGATGGGACTAGAGGATACCAAAGGAAATTCATTTTTTCAAGACCCAGATTTTATGGTAGAAAATAACTTTGATATTAGCAATAATAGTTTGCATATTTGTTTATTCTAGCTACCTTTGAGAGCCTGGACAAAAAAAAAGTCAATGATAACATAATTTACCTTCAAGCCATCATGTCACTACCTAACAGTAGCAAAATGGTTTCAAAATTTAAACTTACAATTTTGTTCCAGTACTTGATAGAGTACTGTGTTGCGTAAGGAAGTAAATCATGCTCCAGTTGGCTAATGTCTCCCCCTCCCCCAGTTTATTTTTGAAATGTATRTATTGTAAATTATAGGACATTTTAATATTCTATTATTTATTTTACACATGCTTGTAATTATTTGAAGTTATCTTACAGGAAGAGCAGAACTAAATACCATCACAGCTATGTGTTAGGAACCTTCCTCACACCGAGTTAATTTTAACGGAGGCTACAAGAAGGCAGGCAGCACCCACTGAGTATTTTCAGAAAAGACTACCTAGATTCATTAGACAGAAATTCCTGTTATAAGCCACCATTTTAATACAACTAATGCCTGTAAATTAAGGCAAAAATGACCACATTAAATATGCCTGCATCTTTAGATGCTGTCTTATAAAATGCTAAACGTGATACAGTCATAAAGTGTCTCTGCACAAATACAGGATTGATGTTTGGAACCATGGAACATAAAGCAGGAAGAAAAATTATCTTTCAGATAGAGGTACTTAAAAATAAGCAGTAACTTGGAGATGAAGACGTATTTCTGGTCTCTTAGAAATTCAGRCCTCTGTTTTATACTAGGTAACATAAGAGTAATCAGGATATCACACAACTTGCCCAGAGCTACAAGCTATCTAACTCATTCCAAGGTAGACAGCTAGTTAAGAGCCTTACATTTTAGATCTGTCTTTTGTGATGTGTATCATTACAATCAGATAGAACTGTGGATATGTACACATTGTAGAGATTTTACCCTTTATTCTCCCCTTAAAAATTTACTAATTGCTTTATCTGCTCAGTTTGTAATGACTGCCTCCTTAGCAGCATTTTCTGATTTTTGGTCTCCTTTGGAAAAGCAGGTGCTGTTGGTACTAAAACTTTCTGGCCACAAGAAATCAGCCCAGAAACCTTATTCATTAAGCTAACATCTGAAGTTGGGCGGTGGGGATTCACGTTTAATGGTGGAAGGAAACCTGGCCTGCTTGGAGCAGTATGATCCAATATCAAAGCTCCTGAGCTCCGTCTTTCTAGAAAAGCTTGATTTCTTCTGCTCAGAGGAACAGCAGGCACATTCTCTAGTAATTCCCTAGAGCCTGACAACAAAGAGGCAGATGGAGAAAGAATCTTTTTCTTTCCTATCACTGACTTGGTATCTTCTGTAGCTGGAGGACCCAAGCTAGTAGTTAACTGAGAATCCGAGCTGTAGTGATTTGCTCCTGAATCTCTTTTCTGAATGATGCTTCTCAGGGTTGAAATGAAGCTAATTTGTCCCAAATCAGAATCCTCACCCATAGAAACCCCACTGGAGTTCTGTTTCCCTTCAGTATAAATAGTCTGAGAATTTATTTCATCATATGATAATTTCCTTGATCCAATTTGATCAAAAGTTTTCARTAAGTGAGCAGTGTCTTTTACGTCAATACTTTGGTGTCTGGTGATAAATCTCTTTGATAGTGYGAGACTATTGATTTTAAAAGAGAGTTCCTCTTCTGGAGTTATATCCTGAAGCTCTTCCTGTAAAGAGGCAACTTTGCTCTGGAGGAGCCGTGAAGGAGAGCTCCTCTTCCAGGGCTTGGCCTGCAGCTGCTCTGCTTGTGCCAGCTTGGCGCCTGCGTGTGGGGAACTGGATTTTCTAGTAGGAGAAACTGGCTCAGTGGAGTTGTCCAGGCTTCGTGGATGATCCATCTCCTTAAAGCTGAAAAGTGATTTTTTAGTTTCATTTGAACTTGAAAGTGGAGATGAAGATGTTTTCAGCTCTATTTCTGATGGGGAAGTGCAAGCAGTTGGAGAAGGGCATTCCTCGGAGTCAGCAGGAGGCACGTTTAGATACTGTTTAGTTGTCTGCTTTCCAGATGCAGACTTGTCCGTGGTGATGATGATGACTTCTTTCCCCCTTGCTCTGCAGGCACGAAGCAGAACGTTGAGAGTCTCTTTGTCCTCGGCGTTTATTGCATACACGAGGGCAGAGCAGTTGGAGTGGTCCTGTAGGCTTGGGTCAGCCCCGCTTTGCAGCAGCAGAGAAACCACGTCAGGGCCTGCTCGTTCCAGGCAAGCGTGCATCAAGGCTGTCTTTCCAGATTTGTCCTGTATGTTTGGATCTGCTTTGTTTTCCAGGAGATATCTAACCATTTTGGCCTTGCTGACGCTCTGGGAGTCCACGTGCCTTGTCTTACAGGCAATCATTAAGGGGGTTTCCCCTCTGTCATTGCTCTCATTAATGTAGGCTCCCCCCTCTAGCAGCAGCCTGGTGAGGCGAAGGCGGCTTTGGTAGACGGCTTTGATGAGAGAATTCCCATCTGTTGGCAACTCGTCCCCAGCTTCACTCATCGCCCTTGTCTCTCACTCACCCTTCCTAGTTGTTGCAAAGAATACCTGGTTTGCAGAGAAAGAATAGGTCAACAAAACAACAACAACAAAAAGACTTAATTGTGTGAATTTCTCCTGTACGTTCCCCAGTACTTTGTGAAAGATGTAGGCAGATAAGGGGGGAAAAGACAAACACTCCCCACTCCCCTACCTCAAGAAACACGTTTAAAAAAATGAAACACTATCAAATATAATATTTACATGTTAAAATAGCTCTTCTTTATATTTTTGAATGCCTGGGCCTTCCTCATACTCTGCCAAATAAGAGGCAAAGAAAGTGTCATTCTGAACCCTGTAATGGCTTTGTAGTGACAGCTCCCAAGTGGCACCACTCTGGTCGTGTACTGCTCATGATTTTCATCAGTTGAACAGAATGAATGCTGCAGTACTTTTTTTAATTGATGGTAGATATGGTGACACATTTTTTTTTTCATACAAGGAGAAGGCAAAACATCTAGGGATTAATGAGAAAAAAAAATCCTGGGCATAATAAATAAGAAAGGTGAGGGCAGTAAGTATTTTTATACGTTAGTTGTAAAAATAATGGGACAATGGATATTAATGTCCTATATAAAAGCAGTTATATTGGTGGAAGTATACTACCTGAGGCTGCTTTGAGAACCTACCAGTCAGCATGAAACTGCATAAATGAAGTGATATGCCACTCATCGTAGAGACTGGGGCACTGAGAAGAGTCCAGTACCTGGGCACGTAGTATCAGCTCTAAAATAAAAGAAGCATTTGACAGGATCAGAGAAAAAATAAGGTTTCATGTGCAAAATGAAGAACTTAATGGGGTGTATAAAATAATGAAAGATCTAGCATGAATGTACCTGCAATCAATAAATTATTTCTCCATCWATCTTTTATATGCTTGCTTAAACTAAATGTAGGAAAAATCTTTGATGCCAAAGAAAAAAGAATCAATATTTAACAGATAGAAGAGCAGTAATTCCAATATGAGATGAGTCAGGAATATGAAAATTATGTGTTTATTATATGATCCTAGAAAAATAAGTGTTTGGTTAGTTTAACTGCAAAAGAAATTAACAGACTRATTTTCATTTACCCTCAAAAACATCAGTTTTATGATAGATAATTGAACAGCAAGAGTTTACTTTGAATTCCAGAACCAAAGGATGATGCCACTGTAGTTTGTTCCAGAAGTCCAACAAACAACAGTCAGTTGAAATACATTTATTTAAATAATTGTATTTAAATACAGTTTATTTAATTTCATAGCAGAGTGGCTGTGGCACAGCTCTGCAGCTACACGTGGTTTGCTTTTATTAAACAATAAGTTTAAGAGTTAGAAGGTGAAAGTGGAGCAAGTGTAAACCTTAATCCAGAGTAATAAAAATGCAACAGATAAAACATTAAGAAGGGAAAATGTAACTGGTCAAATATAACATAGATTACATCTCTGAGTACTGGGTGGAGATGACTGTGCTGTGGTCTGCTTGACACAGAGGTGCATAGGGTTATACAATGCTAAAAGTGCCACCCTGGGAATGAAGGGCGGTGGGACTCCCACGAGATCCGCACTGACACTGGCTGTGAAAACAAACGTTCCCCAGCTGGACTGGATATACCCTGCATCAAAAAAAAAAAAAAGGCACTAGAAAGGTATTTCTGAGAGGAAAGCCCACAGTTCAAGCAGATTCTCAAATGGATTATTTGATTATTCATGATGGGTTGATACTAAACAGATTGGGATTATAAAATATTCCCAAATCTAATTAAATGCAATGTTAGGAACAACTCCTGGTGTTTGAAAAATGTTGGAGGTGACATAGCTGCTTTTCAGCTGTGGGAGGGAACTGGTGCCGGGAGAGCTCCTCACCCCTGAGCTGCTGCAGGACCTAGTTAATGATAACCAGTGCTCAGCGGGTCTTTCCACCAGTTTCTGGTGTTCTTGCACAAAGAGTATTCCAGGAATGCTATTTCCTTCTAACATTTCATATTCTGATGTTGTTCTAAAAACTGTGATTGAAAATATATGATGAAGTAGCATGAAGCACCCTGTAGTATGAGAAACAACTGATTTTCGGGCTAGTGATGGTTTGTTTCTAMGGAGCAGACGGAGACAGATGTTACATGTGTATTTGTACACAAGTACCTATCCTGAGGCCAGGCTGGCAAATACAAGACAGTGATAACCCAGAGTCCTATTCTGATACAGCATCTACTGCTACCACAGTGGGAAAACCCATTAAACCCAAGAAGTTTACCACTTTTTTTTTTTTTTCCTGCAACCCTTGCTTGCTAATTTGTAAAAATCACATAATTACTAGAAAAAATAAATCCTGAAGAGCTTCTTTATGTGTAACAGCAGAAAACACCACAAAAYTGAGGGGAAAAAGAAAAAGCTCACTGACATTTCTGCATAGACACATAAACAATATTTTCACTGACTAAAGGAGTGCTATGAATCAATGTTCTTGCAATGTATTTCTTGCCTGCTCACAGTTAAAGACAAGTTTTCTGCCCTCTGCACATGACACAAAGCTCTCAGGGTAAGTGCCTACTGCAGAGTCATTCCACTAAAATTAAGTCACCAACTCTCAGCTCCAAAAAGATGAACTTACACAGTTAACAAACCTGTAAAAACTTTTGTGGTTTTCAAGACTACTGTAACCCTGTAAATTCCCTCGGTTAGTACAAGAGCTCCAGTTTCCTGTACTACATGGTACACACATTAAAATGCTCCTGGTACAAAAAGGACTTTAAAGAGTTGCCATTGCACCAGCCTGTACCAGTTGCATTTTTTCATGCACCTTCCCGCAGCGATGCCTCTGGCTCCTCAGCACGGCTGTTTCCACGGTTAACTGGTGGCCACAGTTTCCAGTCAAATCAGTTACCTTATTTACACGGTCCTGTGGTGGTTCGTTTGAAGAAAGCTTGGAGGGAGCTAGCCAGCCTGTCCAGCAGCTTTTCCTGGCACGGTATTTATCACGCCTGCAGTTACTCTCTCTCATCCGGAGGGTTTTCTCTGGTGCCCTCAGCGTGGTCGCAGCGTGGTGGGCAGCAATGGGAGGGAAGGTTGGAGCTGCTCTGCATTAAGGTGACTGCTGCGGCTCGTGCTCCTCTCACTGCCTCCTGCCACGTAACATGATGGATCTGATTGCTTCGCTGAGGGAGACCTGGAAAGAGGGACAAGAGCTTTCTCTGGAGGTCTGTAGAGAATACAGCTGAAAAACACAAACGGAGGCCAGAACAAAGAACACGTTAAAAGCTCTTCTGTTAAAAATTCATTGAGATGGAAGCGACCAGTATTTGCTCTTCATCTCAGCCTAACAAACCCCGCTTCCAAGAAAAACATCCCACATCCCGCCTGGATTCCAYCGTCCTTAATCCCGGTACCTTCAGACAGCGGCAGCCGCGGGCTGGAGCGGCACGACCCGAGACGCTCCCTCGGCCCCGAGCCCGTCCCGCCCGGCCGTCCCGAGCGGGCACCGCGGCGCCGCCTGCGCCCGCACCTGCCCCGCCGCGGACCCCGAGGGCGGCGCTGCGGCCGCCGCCGCCCCT